AAAGTTACAAAAAACGCCAATATACGCGTTTTCGTGCGTTTTTTGAATGAGCGTTAATGGCTTACAATCGCGGTTCCCGATTGTGCGTTTAAACGCGTTTTTCAAAATTTTTGTCTGACTGGGTAGAAATTATTGTTAGACTTTACCAAATCTAAAGCAAGAGTTTCAGAATCAGTCAAAAATTATGATTTTTGAGACAAACTTCGATCAGTTCCCACCAAATCTATAAGCTTTTTGCAATATTAAATTAAATAAAAAAAGTGGCATGGGATAAAACACTCACAATCGATCATGACTGTATACACAATGGATATGAATCTATTGATTCTTGAAATTACAGATACGTTATTTTTGACCTGATGTTCCAGAAGTTGATAGGAATTAATCGAATTTGGTCGTAGAAATCGTAATCTTCTACTAATTTTGAAATTCTTGCTTCAGATGCGATGAAATCTAACCATAGTTGCAGAGAAATCATTTTAATCGATATTTTGTTAGAAAAAAAATCTATTAGAATCAGATTCTTTTTTTCTCTATTTTCCTACACGAAAAATCTTCCTTGAAGTTCGTGTCGGGCGGCCCGATAAAAAATCAGGCCTATTCTGTCCAAAGAAAAATCTCTCTGAGCCAAGCTGAGCGGTCCATTTCGAGGCATGATAGATAACAAGTTAATACGGAAATGAAAGTCAAGTTTTGTTTTTTACATACTCTCACAATGACCAAGCCAAATTTTCTTCTGTCAAGTGCAGCATTCAATAATCGATGAATTGGTTCAACATTATTTGTATCACCACCATAGAGTAACATTATTTTCGGTATACTAACTATAGATCATTTAAGAAATTTTCATTTTAATAAACATACATAAAAAGAAATTCGAAATTTACCACATTCACTTTTATCATTATCTCGAATTCGTCCAATTTCTTCTACACATCGTTGTAATAGAGAACGTTGATCAATTAAACCTTGTTCTTCTCTTCCATATAAAATAACGCGTGATAATCGTTTATTAAATATACGATTAAAATTTGTTGTCGTTTCAGTTTTCAAATTATCTTGATAACTATTCGAAAGAGTATCAACAAGTGATTGATAATTATATGGAGCATCTTCTAACTAAACTCAAAAGATAAAAAAGCTTTGCTTCTTTTTTTTAAAATTAATCTATAAAGAGTTTTTACCGATATTGAAGGACAAACATCCACAGCAATTGTTACAAATTGTGATAAAGGTATATCATTAGCTAAATATTGTTTTCTTGTTATTTGAATAATACGTCCAGCAACAGAATCCTAAAAATAAAAATATAATAGATAAAATTCAAAATCATGTTTCTTTTTTTCTACATGTCGAAGTTTACAAAATAACCATGGAGCACCTTGATCACTACTTAATTTATTTCGTCCTAAAATCAAAAAGAAAGACAAAATTCTAAATGTATTCAAATAAAATAATTACATACCAATATCTAAAAGTAGTCTTGCTACTGATGTTGACAATTGTTTTTCGTTAAAATCATTTAATCGTTCAGAACAATTATTAAGACCACCTTCAAGTACAATAATAAGTTTTGGTGATGGTAAATCAAATATTTTATTTTGAAAAATTGATTCTAGTGCTTGTCCAATATCTTCTGCGTCATTAAAATAGACTAACTAAAAAAAATCAAACAAAGAAGATCTTAAAAATATAGAAAAATTCAAATAGACCTCTGTTGATCTTTGTCCACCAGGTGTAAGTGCAATACGAGAAAATTTAGCATTCACTGTTGATAATAAAATATTTTCATCAGAAGATGATATTGTTAACGACGACGACATTAGCAAGGAATCTGAAAAAAACGAGAGATAAATGTTTATTAGATATCATCGTATCGTTTCGTCATAATTAAAGATCGTCATAATTGAAGATCGTCATAGAAGTTTATTTACACGGTTATAACTCCATGTGATAAATATTACAAATATTGATGATCATCATGTAGTAGCAAACCAATCAGCACTGTCTGTTTATACGATATTTCGATAAACAACTATAAGAAAAAAAATCATAAGTAGATATTTAAGAACAAAGAACTTCAATCCGGTGTGGTCTAGTGGTTAGGATTGGACGCTCTCACCGTCTAGGCCCGGGTTCGATCCCCGGCACCGGAAATATTTTTTGTTCTATTTTTTTATTTTTTTTCTTAACTTTACACTACATTTCTTTCTGATAGTTCAATTTTTAATAAAAAACCACAGTTAATATTTTGTCTAGTAGCAGTTTTCAATAATAAAAATTGAACTTTTTTTTTTTACTCCAAAACAAAAGATGTCACTTTCATTACTTCTTACTCGTTGGTTATAAATTTAATTCAATAGGAAGAATACTTTTTTTCTCCTAAAATAAATTGTACTCATGTTAACAACAAAACAAATCATCAAGCAATAATGAATCAAAATGATGATCAAATCCTTTTATCAAATACATCGATCGAAGGATTAACTTCATCAAGACAACTAAGTTTTTCAAATTCTGATTTAGATGATATAACTGTTGATGATGATGATGATATTGATGATGATTGTCTTGATTCAATAGATGAAGTTCAACATATTCTTCAAACATTTGGTAAAAATGATTGTTCAACATCATCAATTGATTATTTTGATTCACGTCGTTATGAAATAATGTATGAAATAATGAATATTGAAAAACAATTTGATGAATTAAAAAATATTTTATATGAAGAAAGTGTTTTATTAATTGATAGAAAATTACTATCTATACAAAATGAAGAAGCACCTGAATATCAAAATGAATTAAAAAAACTTTATGATGAAATGAAAATTGATTTAGAAATAGCTAAACAACGACATCGTATTGAATTACAAGCATTAGAAAATTCTACGGAATCTGAATTATTAAGTTTAGAACAAACATTAGAAAATGAGAAATTTCTTTTACAGTATAATATACGTGAAGATATTGAACAAAAAATTCATGAACTTGAGACATTAAAAATGGAAACACAGCTGTGTGCAAATATTTTACAAGAAATTTTACCATCAGAACAACAACAACAATTACAAACCATATCAACAAATAAAAAACGTTTTGATAATTCAGAAACAATAAAACAAAATGTAAAAAAACGACGTTTAAATGGTACTAAGAAAATAGTGGAAAAAGATAATTTAGCTATTTTTTATCAGTTATCTGATATTAATATCATTGAAGATTGGACACTTATACAAACATCTTTACAACAATCATCAACTATCTTAGATGAAAGTGATGATAATAATAATGATAATGAAAAATCAGATAACTATGTTGACGATAATGATAGTAATCGTTTAGTTCATATGTCGAATATTGATTGTTAAAAAACGAAGAAAAAGAACATATTCATTGTGATAAGAGTAGATTTTTAGAAAATAACAAGAAAAAAAGTATTTTTATGACTTTTTCTATATTATATTAAAATATAAAACTATTTTTTTTTGGTTTTAATGTATAATTTAGACAAATAATTTCTATATAAATTCAAATCATTTTTATAATATTTTCCGTTTTTTTAATTTTTTCATTAGCGAGGGAATTATCCCAACTGACACCCACCGTTTTTATGATGTCATGCACTTACAAAGGCGTATCCGTAGGACGAGCATGTCTAAAAGGGTTAATTTCCATGAGACATTAGAGCTGAGATAACAGCAGTTGTACTGAATTTTTCGCCCAATTTTAGGTAGACGTCGAAAAATCAAAGAACAAAATTTCGATTTAAAATTTCCTTCATAGATAAATTTAATAACCCTTAGAATGTTCCTTTATTCAGTTATTGAATTTTCCAGTAAAACTTGACTTTTGTGGAATTTCTGTAGCAGCAAATGACTATTTTCTGAAAATTCAATATTTCGACAAAGGAACATTACTTTTGGCTAAAATGCTCAGAATATTGTACTGGTCCTTCGACCTATTTGTGAGCAAAATTTCAGGTTGAACTTCTGTTATTTGATTTTTCGATGTATACTTGGAATTTGGACAAAAATTTAGTCAAACGGTCATAACTCGGCTCGAGAGATTCATGGGCACGAATCCTTTTAGATTTTTGTGTCTCATCAACACAAACTTGTAGACGCAGTATATGATCAAGACGCCCGTATCAGTTCGGATGGTTCTCTCGTAAGTTTATTTCTTGTTGAAAAGATTTTAGAAAAATTCTGATGATTTCTATAAGATATCATTGTTAGAACTATAAACTTTCAAATTAAAGCTTTGACCTTCTCATTTAATTTTTGTTTTGGTCGTCTTGCTTCTTATGTGTACTACTATATTGTATATTACCTTCAAAATGGTTGTTTCGGTATGCTACCGTTAATTTAACTGCAATTTTTATTAACTCATTCAAGCAAAACGTGTGGGTGGCTAATATATGTTTATAGTCGAATATGGTTTCTTTTTGATACATACTATATTCATCAGAGTCGATTTTAGTATTTGTGTTCCATTTCATTGCTTTGTAATGCTTCTTTGGCGTCTTCTATTTCAGCTTAAAAATAGAATATTTTGTTTTTCTTTTTAATGAAGACCAGTTAATTAGAAGAGTGTACACTAGCAAGAGATTCGCAGTGGAAAGTGTGTATTAAGTATCTTGTTTGTCGATTGCACTTGAATATGAAAGAGAAAAGATTTTTTCACACATAATGCACTTGTTTGACCTCTATAGTTGAATTAGCGTACTCTTGTTTCGTATAGATGATTTTTAATATGTGACAGACTTTTCTCGTGAGTGCAGAAGATAGGAGGTTTTTTTAGGGAACGATAAGAAAACATAATAGAAATACTGAAAGTAAATAAAAATAAATTTATGTGATTTCAATAATATATCTAAACGCACCACTTATATTGGTGTGTAAATACAGCTGCTTTTTTTTCTATCGAACCTTTGCTATATTTCTTATTTCTAGATCGTAATTATTCTCTAGTTTATTTAGTTTCTTTCTCTGCTTCATATGAGTACGAATTGTGAAGAAAAAAACTTAGATTCCAAAGTGGCAGACAAACAAAATCTACAATCATCAAATGTTAGATTTGACCTTGACGAACCACAGCTTACTGATGATTTTGATAGAATGGATGAAGTCGATGAATTACTTGATTTTTCAACTGGATCAAAACTTTCGTCATATTCTCCAACCGTATCAACAACTAATAATATAAAAGATAATTCAAGAACAAAAGTAGAAACATCACTGAACAATGATATGCATGGTGAAAATAAATCAACATTAAGCCATTATTCACGGTAGGTGTAAAAAGTGTTTTCAATCATATTCACACACACCTATATATATAAGACAAAAAAACATAATGAGGAAAAAAAAACATTTGCACTATAATGACAAAGGATAATTCGTAAGAGTAACCTATATGCATTTTGATAATTACCTTGTGATTTTTTTTTATTTAGAAATATGTCTGGCATATTTTTTGGATCATCAGCGTCTTTGAGGCCAGTAACTACAGTATCAACACCTAAAGCACTGTGTGATTCTCTAGGTGGAAATCGTGTGATAAACAAAGTCATTGATTATTTTTTTTTGAATTTATTCAGTTAAAATTAATTAAAAAAATTTCTTTTCAGATTCTTATAGCAAATAATGGTATTGCAGCTGTTAAATGTATGCGCTCAATTCGACGTTGGTCTTATGAAATGTTTCGTCAAGAAAATGCTATTAAATTTGTTGCCATGGTTACACCAGAAGATATGAAAGCGAATGCTGGTTAGATTCGTTTTTAATATTTTCTCAATTTTTTTGTCGTGTTTTCTTCTTATATAGAATATATTCGATATGCAGATCATTATGTCAATATACAAGGTGGTCCATCACATATGAATTATTCAAATTGTGAACTTATACTTGATATTGCAAAACGCTTTCCTGTAGAAGGTTTAGTTGATTGTGTTTTGTCTTCTTGTTGAATAAATTAGAAAGAAATTTTTTTCTAGCTGTTTGGGCCGGATGGGGTCATGCATCAGAAAATCCTAAACTACCAGACTTACTTCATCGTAATGGTATTGTATTTATTGGTAAGTAATTATTTTTTCTCTAATGTTCGAGAATATATCTCATTTCTTTTATTTTTAACATAGGTCCATCAGAACAAGCCATGTGGGCGTTAGGTAAAACTTTTGATTAAACACTTGTTTTTTTTTGCTATATTTATTTTAATTGTATAGGTGATAAAATAGCTTCGACTATCATTGCTCAAAGTGCTGATGTACCAACATTACCCTGGAGTGGATCTCGTAAGTATGATGAAATAAAAATTAAACAAAAAAAGTAACAGTGTGCGTTATACAGATGAAGAAAAAGATGTCGAAAAATGATCTTTTTGTTTGATTAAAAAGAAAATGAGACTAAAATTAAATTTGAATATTTATATTAGATCTTACACTTCCATACGAACAAGACAATAGCGACGATGTAAATGTTCCAATGGATTTATATGAACAAGCATGTGTTACTGATTCGAAAAAAGGTCTAGAAGTAAGACTCGATTTATGATATATTTTTATTTCATAAATAATATGTACAAAAAAAAAAACATAATTTTATTATATTAGATTGCAACTCAAATTGGTTTTCCTGTAATGATTAAAGCTTCAGAAGGTGGTGGTGGTAAAGGAATACGAAAAGCTACAAGTCGAGATGATTTTGAAAATCTTTTTCGACAAGTAAAAGAAATCTTTTTCATTTACTTTTTAAATTAATACTTTTATAAATTAGGTTCAAATGGAAGTACGAGGTTCGCCTATATTTTTAATGAAATATGCTGATAGTTGTCGACATTTGGAAGTACAAATTCTTGCTGATCAAAGTAGACAAGCGATATCATTATTTGGTCGTGATTGTTCAATACAACGACGTCATCAAAAAATTATTGAAGAAGCACCAGCTATTATAGCACCGTCTGAAATTCTTGAACAAATGGAAAAAGCAGCTGTACGTTTAGCAAAAATGGTTGGTTATGTTAGGTTAGTTTATATTTTGAATAACTGAATTTATCAAATAAATGTTTTTGAAAAAAAAAACATTAGTGCTGGTACAGTGGAATATTTATATAATCCAAATGATCAAACATTCTTCTTTCTTGAACTTAATCCTCGATTACAAGTTGAACATCCTTGTACAGAAATGATTACTGATGTTAATTTACCTGCATGTCAACTACAGGTATAGATCTAATTTGACAAAAAAAAACTTATAAAATATATAAATCTAAACAAGATTAGATAATAGAAACTATTTTTAAGATCTATTTCATATGATTAATACAGTAATCTTTAGCACTGTCTACAACACTGTTAAAAATATATCTGAATAGAATAAATGTGTCGAAAAAGTTGTTTTTCTTTCGTAATACGAATCAATCACTCAAATATTATTTCGAATGGATTTCAAGTGTGACTGTTCAAGATAAACCGAGACAAATATTTGATTTACTATAAGTTTACTGTTAGAAAATTATCAATGATAAATCAATGCTGTATTAGACATTGATTTTATTGAATCTGTTAATGTGTACTAGTTATGAATGTACCAATTTCAAGTCAAGAATTGGTATTGGAATTGGTTTATCCCTAGTACTACTTCGCATTGATCTAATTGATACTGATTTTTGAGTTGATACGAACGACATACATATGTTACATATCAATTTTTTTGAAAAATCAATAGTGCTAATTAGAAATAAAAGTGAATTCGCGTTAACTAACTCCAGATTTTTATTATTCTGCTGCGTGTAAAAGAATCTTGTCGCAAAAGCGTTAATGATTAATTATTTTTTTCATCTATTTGTAATTCATTGGTAGATTCTTTATTTATTGTCTTTTCGTTATTTAATAATTTCTTTTTTTTTTTTATTAACACCTACCAAAGATCATTGATGTGATTATATCTCAGTTCTTGTACTGCTATTCGATATTTTTTTTTGCAAACAAAGTTGTATTGCTACTTGTCTTTTATTCTTGAAACTTTAGAAGCTCTTGTTTTAAATCTATACAATATGTGTAATAGGATGTTACAAAAAAAATCAAACAGAAATGCATAGTTACATTTGATTTTTACGTATGTTCTTTTGGCGAAAAAAGAATGATAAATAAGTGAACTAAGAAAAGAAAAATTATGGCACCAAAACAAACCATCATTGTAGTGCAGGTTGAATAACGTGACGATGATGATGATATAAGAGAAGATGAATCCTTTTGATCTATTTCGACGATTGCTGCTTCAAAGTTATCGCTGGCCTTAGTTGGATATATTATGTTCATCTTACTATTTTGTGCATGTATATCATTACTATCATTTTGCATATTGATATCCATTGTTCGTAAAGAACGCTAGATGATTATATGAAATAAAGTACTGTAGTGTGCAATACTTTATATACACTGACAAGCTAGCAGAAATCACAAGCGGTCGAGAAGAAAATGAGTAACAACAAACACGTTATGACATAATCCAAACGAAAGATAAGTTGGAAAAATATCAAATGACAAACCAAAGAAACAAAAAAAAAGAAAAGAATGCGCATTCATGTGTATCACATGTCTCACCAGAACACTAGTAAAACACGGAAGAGAAAAAACAAACCTAACATAAGTGAATCACGCTTTAGTAGTGTTTTTTAGAAAAATGTGTCATCCGCCTAGTCAAACCGAACGATCAAACAGTAAAATCTTACAAGATAGTACGTCTGCTCTTGTAAGATTAGGCGAGAGTCAGACAAAAAAATCGTAGTTTCACTCTCGTTCAATTAGCTGACAATTAACAACTTAAATTTACTTTATTTTAAGTTATTATTACATGAATTGTTGAATAATAAATGGACAATGAAGTAAAAAATAATAGAAGCAATAATTTACACTCACTTTTGATTGATTTGATACTGTAGTATAATTTGAATTGAAAAATAGAATAAAACAATAATTTACTGTTTGTTGAGCCGATCGAATTATGTAATTCAAAATAAAAATAAAATAAGATAAATAATTTAAGTTTACTGTTCGTTAACTCATATAGCTTTCATTTTGATTATAAGTAGGGATTTAGGAATGTGACTGTTTTACCTGATTTATAGGAAAATACCTTCGTGTCGTCATAAAAACTATGACAAATATATTCCACATATTGTCTAATAATCACAAAAAACAAAACTAGATACTTTAATACCATCATATGCCGACAATTGAATAGTACAGAGATGTGACGAAGTAACTCCAACCTAGATGTGTTTATCAAGTATCACAAGAAGTGATATGGCGAATGATGCTGTAGTGAATGAAATACAATCATGTATTGCATGACAGGAAAAACAAAATTTTCGTATGCCACCGTGGAATAATGATACACGAAAATAACATATAAGCTTACCCTTCTAATCTCTGCTGTGTATGTTATTGACCTATTTATAATGTTTTCTTATATAAGTGTTTTCTATTTCGTCCTGCGTCCATCCTACTAAAATAAAAAAATATGCTTATAATACATGCCGTTCCAAAGAAAGCGATTTGTTCAATGTTTCAAATGTTGTGCATAATGATTCTACATGTTGACATATCACGTGATGGATGAGTTTTCACAAATGTACACTTTACATTAGAAAGTTTTCTATGTTTTGATGAAGAAAACAAAAAAAACTGTTCTAAACAATCAAAGCATGAAAATATATCATAATGACAGTACAGCTATTCGTCTTGTAACTATCTTAGCTGAACAATTTTTTATAAATCATAGTTTTAGATAAGGATATAACATATTTAGAAACTAACAAAACAAATTTTTGCACAAATAGATTTAACTACTTAAAAAGATAAAAATAATACTTGGTTTGTTTTTGTTAGATTGCTATGGGTATATGTTTGCATCGAATAAAATATATACGATTATTATACGGTGAAGAACCATTTGGTGTATCATCAATTGATTTTGAAAAGCCTAAAAATAAACCTATGCCACATGGTCATGCTATTGCTGCACGTATTACCAGTGAAAATCCAGACGAAGTGAGTTATAAAAAAAAAAAACAGAAAAGAGCATGTCTTTTCTATTTGTACTTTTGTATATTAAAATTAGGGTTTTAAACCAAGTTCAGGAACTGTTGAAGAATTAAATTTTCGTAGTCGACAAAATGTTTGGGGATATTTTAGTATATCATCATCTGGTGGTTTACATGAATTTGCTGATTCTCAATTTGGACATGTTTTTTCACACGGCGATACTCGAGATGATGCACGAGAGTTCGTTTAATTATTGTTATCTATTTATTATTCTTTTATTTTCTTAGAAATCTTGTTGTTGCATTGAAAGAATTATCAATTCGTGGAGATTTTCATTCAACTGGTAAGAAAAAGTATTCTTTTGTAATATTTTTATTATTTATGTAAACATTTTTATAGTGGAAATGTTAATACGTTTATTGGAAACTGATGCTTTTATAAATAATACAGTTAAAACAAGTTGGCTTGATACTTTAATTTCAGAACGTTTTCAAACTGAAAAACCTGATATAATGATATCAATTGTATGTGGTGCTATACATGTTGCAGATGAACAATTTCGAACTAATTTTCAAAATTTTCAATCATCACTTGAACGGTATAAAAAAATTTATTACTTATTTTTCTTGTCGAATGTAAAAGAATATATATTTTCTAGTGGTCAGATATTATCTATGAATACACTTTCGATTTCAACCTATGTGGAACTGACATATGAACATATTAAATATAAATTACAGGTAATTAAAAAAGACAAAACAAAAACAAAACGGAATCTATCCACGTTCGTTGTCTAGGTGACAAAATGTGGTCCAAGTTGTTTTTTTGTTGTTATGAATGATTCGTACGTTGAAGTTGAAGCTAATCGGTAAAGATTAAAAAAGAAAAATGAGGATTTTTGTTTGAAGATTGTTTTTTTTTTAGAATGAAAGATGGTGGTATATTAATTAATTTAGATGGAACAAGTTATTTAACATTTATGAAAGAAGATGTTGATAATTATAGAATTATTGTTAATAATAAATCATGTGTTTTTCAAAAGGAAAATGATCCATCTGTATTAAGGTAAATAAAATAGATTTGTTTTTTTTTGTCTGTCTAGAATATTTGATTATTTTAGATCACCATCGGCTGGAAAACTTCTTCATTATACCATAGAAGATGGTGGTCCTATTGAAGCAGGTCAAGTTTACGCAGAAATCGAAGTTATGAAAATGGTTACTGAAATTCGATGCCCATCGAAAGGACAGTAAGGATTAAATTTAAGAAATTGAATTTTACTATTTTTTCGAAATCTATAAAGAAAATGATGATATGTTTAATTGTATTGAAATGATTCAACAATTATATGATTTTAGTTTTGGATCAGAAGTAAATTTCTAATATGAATGAAGAAGCTTGAAAATCATCTTGATCGAAAATATAACTAATAATTATGAACGTGTCTTTATGTATTTTGAGTTTAGCAGATGAAGTTCTTGTTTTTATTATGAAGGTGTTGTAATAACTTTTGAATGATATAATCTTAATAGTTAGAACAATTGATATGATGAAATTTAGATAAAGTATTCATTTCGAATCATCTAGGTAGATAGACGATAGGTGAAGAAACTTGATAACCAGACTGATAAGTGTCTTTAAGGAGACTATTTTGAGAATGTTTCCTGATCACTATCAAAGTCTATTTGTGGTCAAAGATAAAATCAGGCAAGATAGTTTTTTTTTTCGTTTGTAGGAGAATCGTCATTTCTCTCTGTTTTCTAAAGGTTAAGGTCATATATAGTAATCAGTTTTATAAGAAATGAACATTTCAGTTTGACATTTCTTTACTTGTTGTTTATAGTTAGGAACATAATAGTTCAATCAAGACTAAAATATCGATTAATACCTGACGATATAAAATAAAAAATTTCTCATATATTAAAACTAAAGTTCTATCAGTCATTCAAACATGAATCGAAATTTATATTCAAAAAGAAAAAAATACATTCATAAGCAGACTTTATTTAAATAGTAATATCAACCAACGCAGCATTAAAAGCCTCTTCAATATGATATAAAGGATTTTCACTGTGGATAGGAGTTGACTAACTCTCAGTTCGATTTCTACAATTGAACTGGTCAAAAAAAAATTTGTTCTGTTTTGGAAATGGTATTTTAGTAATAGAACAAAAGCTTTTTTAGTATTTGGACGTACCTTTCTCAAAAATAGTACAAAAATTGTTCGATCAGATCAAAGAATGCTTGTTAAAAGTCTTATTAAAATAAATTGTATTATGAACTTTGTTTATTCAATGTATACTTTTGATTGACTCATAATATTTTTGAATATATCATCTTCGTTTGTTTAGTCTTCAATGGAATAAACGTCCCGGTGCTATTCTTGAAGCTTTATGTGTTCTTGCACATATCATATTTGATGATTCTCATCAAATTCCACAATCAACATTATATGATGGTAAATTTCATTTTGAAATAGTAAATCGTTCAACAAGTACAAAAGTAAATCAAATATTTCAAACAACAAAACAAACATTAGAAAATATTCTTCATGGTTATACATATCCAAAACCATATTTTCGTGAAAGACTTAAATTAACCGTTGAAAAATTATTTTCAATTTTACGTGATCCATCATTACCATTACTTGAAGTTGAAGATATTTTATCAAATATATCTGAACGTATGCCACAAGAAGTTAAAAAAGAAATAAAAAAATTATTAAAAAATTATCAAAGTAATTTAACATCTGTCTTAATACAATTCCCATCACAATCTATAGCAACATTTATTGATAATTATGCTGCAAAATTAGAACATCGTACTGATAGAGATGTATTTTTTACAACTGTACAAAGTCTTGTACATTTAGTAAAACGTTATCGTAATGGTATAAAAGGTCATATGAAAACAGTTATAACAGATTTAATAAGAAATTATTTAAATATTGAAACATTATTTCAATTTGGACAATATGATAAATGTTTAACACAATTACGTGATAAACATAAAATTGATATGCATAAAGTTGTTGAAATTGTTTTTTCACATGCAAATTATAATTCAAAAAATGCACTTGTTATTATGTTAATTGATTTATTATTTGAACGTGATCCAAGATTAACTGATGAATTAACAGCATTATTAAGTGAATTAACATTATTAACACATACAAGTAATGCAAAAGTTGCATTAAAAGCAAGACAAGTATTAATTGAATTTCAACAACCACCCTATGAATTAAGACTTAATCAAATGGAATCAATATTTTTAAGTGCTCTTGATATGTATGGTCATAAATTTTGTCAAGAAAATTTACAAGTATTTCGAAAAAAAGAAAAGTGTTTGAAACTTTTTGTTTTTTATTTCTCTCTTTAGAAATTAATTCTATCGGAAACGAGTATTTTTGATGTTTTACATAGTTTTTATTTTCATCCAAATATACAAGTGCGTCAATCAGCACTTGAAGTAAATATTTAAAAAAACAATAATGATGATTCATATATATATATATTTATTCTTCTCATTACTTTTTTATTTCCTAGGTTTATGTTCGACGTTCTTATATATCATATGATATCATTAGTGTTCAACATGGCTTTCTTTCAGATGGTACATGTACTGTTCAATTTTCTTTATATTTACCACTAAATCATCCAAATAGGTAAAGAGAATTAAAAAGAAAACAAGAAAAACCTATAAATAATTAGATGTTGACAAATTTCAATATCTCCAGTTGACTTTAATCAATCGGATTGATTTTTTTCCTTGGTGATAGAGTACGTAGCATATTTGATCTTAATGAAGAAAAACGTATTGACAGAAAGTCCCTTCCCTGTGATCTCAGTTATTCATAAACACTAGACATTAAATTTTTAGTATATAAACTATCTTAGAAGTGTTCGCTTGAGTTGAAATGTAACTATGATCTGTGATGATCCTTTTCATTGTGAGTCCTACAACTCAAGAAAGTCACAGTCAGAATGGCTATGATACATCAAAACTCTTCTTTGACTCAAGCGATCGAGACAAGGCTGACCTCGTTGTTCTGCAATTTCAAAGTAGTGCATATGTTAAAAATTTTTAAAGGTGTAGCCTTCAGGATGAATAAGACATTTTTGGTCAATACTATTTTTTCTTCATTGAGATCAATAGTAGTACTCATTCAAAACAGTATCAATTAGTGATTGTGTTGGAGATATTGAGTATCTTTATCGTCAAGTTATTTATGGGCCACTTTGCATAAATATGTTTATATATATATTTATATTTCACTATATTCATTGATTGTAGACTGTATATACAAGAAAATACAGTTCGAAATGGTAGTTTTACTGATGATATGCTTTTAATGGATGATGAAGATCCACAATTATTTCGACGGACGGGTATTATAGCTGCATTCGATAGTTTAGAAAGAGCAAAAAAGTTAGTTTATTTAAAATAAAAAACAATCAAATCAAATCAAGAATTATAAATTTTTTAAATTTAGTTATTTTGATGAATTGTTATTGCCATTTTCATCAATACTATCCAATACTCGTTCTTCAACTAGTCGTAAACTACCATATATACATAACCGACAAGCTTCATATGATAGTTCATCTATTGATAAACCTACTATACAAGTAGGTTTAAACGAAGATGAATTGTTCTATTTTAATAATCTTTCTTTATTATTATTATTATTAGTTTGATCAAGCAACTAATCTCATCTATGCATTTATTAAAGATGATGTTAATCTTCAACAAAATTTCAAACTTGAAGATGTATTTCTTGAATTTGTTCAATCAAAAGTAAGCTGTAATTATTAAAAGAAAGAAAACATTGTATTATATATAAACAAAATTCTTAATATATATTAGAATCAAGTTTGTGCTGCAAAAAATATTCGTCGAATTACATTTTCACTTGCTGCAAAAGTAAATTATAAAAATAAAAATAATAAAACTAAATTTTTTATTATTATTTATAGCGTCAATTTCCAGCTTATTTCACTTATCGAAAACGATTAGATGTAAGACAAAGAAAAAAAGAATTTGTTTTTCTATTTGAATTTTCTTTTTGTTTTTATTTAGTTTGAAGAAGATAAAATTTTTCGACATCTTGAACCTGCACTAGCATATCAACTTGAACTTTATCGTTTACGTTCATTTGATATAGAATTTGTTCCAACATCAAATCATAAAGTACATATTTATTTAGGCAAAGGAAAAGTTCATAATAAACAAAATGATACTGCAGATTATCGTTTATTTGCACGTTCAATTATTCGTCATTCTGATTTAATTACAAAAGAAGCAAGTTATGAATATTTACAAAATGAAGCTGAACGTACATTACTTGAAGCTATGGATGAGTTAGAATTAGCATTTTCACATCCATTAGCAAAGAAAACTGATTGTAATCATGTATTTATGTGTTTTGTACCAACGGTTTGTATTGAACCAAATAAAGTTGAAGAAAGTATTCGTGAAATGGTACTTCGCTATGGTAAGTTATCGGATATTGATTAACTTGCTTTTTTTTTCAACTTGATCTTTTTTCAACTTAATCCTTCTCTTATAATTTGAAGGTCTTCGTTTATGGAAACTTCGTATTCTTCAAGCTGAATTGAAAATGACATTAAGAGTAACACCAGATTCTGAACCAATGCCATTTCGAGCATTTATGACATATGAAAGTGGTTATCATCTTGATATATCATTATATCGTGAAGTAACAAATCAAGCAACAGGACAAGCTGTATTTCAAACATATAATATTGGTAAACCAGGTCCATTTGAAGGTCGAGCATTACATGAACCATATTTGACTAAAGATCAATTGCAATATAAACGTTTTACAGCTCAATCAAATAGTACAACTTATGTTTATGATTTACCTGAAATGTTTCGACGTGCTTTACTTGTATCATGGAAACAATATATAGATTTAAATAAGTTTAAAGATCAATCAATGCCAAAAGATAATTTTCTTTGTCAAGAACTTATACTTGATAATACAAATCAAGGTAATAATTAAAAACATTTTTCTTTTCAAATTAATCTTTTGGTTTTTTTATTCTCAATAGTAAATCTCAAGAATTCATCATCTCCTATTTCACCAAGATCTATTCCATCAAAAAATATATTTTCGACTTCATCAAATTCAATATCAACATCTGATATAAATGATATTAATAATAAACTTCAACAATGTGGTCTTTTAACACGTACACGTTCACCAGCTGAAAATGATTGTGGTGTTATTGCATGGCGTATTCGTATGAAAACACCGGAATGTCCAAATGGTCGAACAATAATTGTTATTGCTAATGATATAACATATAAAATAGGTTCATTTGGTATCGAAGAAGATTTATTATTTCAACGTGCATCAGAATTATCACGTTTAGAACGCGTACCACGTATTTATATATCGGCAAATAGTGGTGCACGTATTGGTCTTGCTGAAGAACTTAAATTTCTGTTTCATATTGCATGGAACGATCCGCAAGATATTGAAAAAGGCATACGTTATTTATATTTAACACCAGATGATTATTCACGTGTATCAAATATGAATTGTGTACGAACAGACGTAATAAATGATGATGGAGAATTACGATATAAAATTATTGATATTATTGGAAAAGAAAATAGTTTAGGCGTAGAAAATTTACGTGGATCAGGAATGATTGCTGGTGAGACATCACTGGCATATAATGTTATTGTAAATATTTAAAGTTTTTTTTTTTATTTTGACTATAGAAAAAAGCAACCTTTATTTTTATGTTTTAGCCAACAATTAGTTTAGTAACATGTCGAGCTGTTGGTATAGGTGCTTATCTTGTTCGACTTGGTTCTCGTGTAATACAAGTTGAAAATTCTCATATTATATTAACTGGCGCTGGTGCACTTAATAAAGTTCTTGGTCGTGAAGTTTATAATAGTAATAATCAATTAGGTGGCACACAAATTATGTTTAATAATGGTATAACACATGATGTTGTTAAAGATGATTTTGATGGATGTTTGCTTATACTTCGATGGCTTTCTTATATGCCAGAAACAATGTTACATTTGCCACCAGTATTACCTGAATTATATGATCCTATTGATCGTACAATTGATTTTATTCCAACATCAACACCATATGATCCAAGACATATGATACACGGACGACAACTTGCATTAACACAACAATCTATAAATCATATTGATACAGGAATATCAATGACAGCATCATTTCAATCAGGATTTTTTGATCGAGATTCATTTGTTGAAATAATGAAAGGTTGGGCTAAAACTGTTGTGTGTGGTCGAGCCCGTCTTGGTGGAATTCGTAAGTAGCGAACAATGAAATTTTAGAAATTTTCAAAAAAGAAAAGCATAATTTCTTTTAGCCATGGGTGTTATTGCTGTTGAAACACGTACAGTTGAATTAGAACAACCAGCTGATCCAGCTAATTTTGATTCTGATGCTCGTACTATTCAACAAGCTGGTCAAGTATGGTTTCCTGATTCAGCATTTAAAACCGCACAAGCAATTAATGATTTTAAACGTGAAAATTTGCCATTAATGATATTTGCTAATTGGCGTGGCTTTAGTGGTGGAATGAAAGATATGTTTGATCAGATTATGAAATTTGGTGCTTATATTGTTGATGCACTACGAGAATATGAACAACCTGTATTTAGTTATATACCACCTTTTGGTGAATTACGTGGTGGTGCTTGGGTTGTTATTGATCCAACAATTAATTTACGTTACATGGAAATGTATGCTGATCGAATGAGTCGTGGTGGTGTACTTGAACCCGAAGGTACAGTTGAAATAAAATATCGTATGAAAGATTTAATACGTACAATTCATCGACTTGATCCTATTTCTCGAGAATTAATTGCCGAGATAGCTTTATGTACAACAGGAACAACAAATAATATAAAAGAAGATATCGAAAGACAATTAGTTGAACGAGAAAAAATTTTATTACCTGTTTATCAACAAGCTGCTGTGATGTTTTGTGATTTACATGATACACCAGGTCGAATGTTAGAAAAAGGTGTTATTCGAGTAGGTTAATCAAATGAGACTTTGTTTTTGAATTTTTTTATGATTTCTCTTTCTTAAAAAGGAAATATTGGATTGGCGAACAAGTCGTGAATTTTTTTATTGGCGATTAAAACGTCGTTTAGGTGAAAATAATGTTATAAAAACAATTCTTGCTCTTGAATCTTCCACTGATTATCAATCAGCTTCTAATTATCTTGAACAATGGTTTAATGAAGATAAAAATAATGATGTAAGAAGAATTTTATTTAATTTTCTTTTTTATTAATAATTTTAATATTATGTTATTTAGACTTCACAATGGACAAAAGATAAAATTGTTGCTGAATGGCTTGAACAATTTCAAACATCATCATCAATAAATGATCGTATAAAATCTTTACAAAAACAAAATGCTCGTCAAAATATTCATCGGTTTGTTTTTTATTCTAATAAAACAAAAAAAAATATTTATTTTATTCATTTCAAAGATTACTTCAAACATATCCTGATCTTTTATCGGATATATTAGTAAATACAACTGATGAACAGCGTTCTGAATTAAACCGAATTTTGAACAGTAAAAAAATAACAAAGTGACAATCAATATTCTTACCACAAAATATGATAAATATTTCGATGCTGTTTTTTTTTGTTTTTGTTCTTATGCTATGGTTTTGTTTTCTGTTTGTTATTTGATAATATAAACAGAAGGAAACATTAGTTAAAATGAATATTTTTTTTCATCAGTCTCTGTTTTGTATTAATATTGATTTCGTAAAATTTTTATAATTATGATCAGTCTTGGTATTTTTCTGTTTGATATGATTATTTTCATTGGTCGTTCTCATTAAATATAAATAAATATTATCGTTCCCGTATAAAAAAAAACAAGAGATATTTTTGTTTTTCATTCAATTTTCTTTTTGTAGAGAAAAATGTTATTTAACGAACCGTGGTATTTATCTCTTTCACTTTTTGAACGTTCATTAGCTTGTATTAATTTGGCCGCATTTCTTTCATCATTATGTCAATGGCGAGGTCAAATAGGTAGTACTGGTATATTGCCTGCTTATACTTTCGTTCGTCATTGGAAAGAACGTAAAATGACATTTTTTCAACGTCCGACACTTTGTTCAATTATTTCGGATTCAGACAATTTTCTTTTGGCACTTCATTGGATAGGAATAATTTGTTCAATAATGGCATTTTTTGCAATTATTCCATTAGGCATATGTTTCCTTGGTTGTTGGATTTGTTATTCATCATTAGTAACTGTATCAACAACATTTATGGGCTTACAAATGCATTCAAATTTATTAGAAACAAATATGCTTTATGTATTATGTTCACCATTTCTTGCTGCACAACCTGAAGTGTTCGTTTTTATTCAATGGACACTTCTATTTCGTATTATGCTTGGTGGAGCCGCTGGAAAAGTATAAGAATCATAAAAAAAGGGAAAAAAATTTATCATTATTATTTAGTCTTATTTTAGTATACAGGTGGAGATCGAAGTTGGAAAGATGGTACAGCAATGCTGTGGCATTATTGGACTCAGTAAATATAAACTAAAGGATCTTGTCGGATAAGATAAGCATCCTTCATTTGAAAAGCCAATAGTACCGTTTTGTAGAACAGCACGTGCTGTATTGAATGGTATATAGGAAATTGATATTTCATCAAGTTTTAATGTTCTGAGAAACCGTATACTAATTAAGGAATATTGTCGCAATTGCCAGTAATATGATCAAATGTTCGTAGTCAGTTTGTCTCCAAACTAACCTATATCGAATTTTTTGTCAAGTTATTTCACTAGAGTTTTGTCTCGTCTTCAATCGTGAATATCTAATAATACTCTCAATAGCTTTGTTCGCATCCAAAATCTTAGCATCTTTATACTAGCTTTTGTAATTGCTAACTTTAATGATGTTTTAAATTCTTTTATATTAATCCTGAGAACAAAGACAATGAACCGTAAAAAAGGTCAATTTTTTGAGTCCTAAGAGCAGAAACCTATAAGTTTTGTGATAAATACTTTTTGAGTGAAACGTTTCTATTTATCAACAATGACTTCATCACGCTGTATCATTTGACATATATGGATGTTTCGAAAGTGGTAAAAGAATTTTTTCCTTTTGAGACCTCTAGATGGGAGTATATGCATATGCATTAAATTAAATTCTAATAAGAGACTAAACATCAATTGAACCTAATAGAACTCCATACTCTTATGACACTCGACTAGTCAGAATGTAAATTCGTAAGAAACAAAAGAAAACAAAAACTAATCTTTGTAATAGTCCATTTTCGTATCTTCTTCAGAAATTCGAAAATGAAAAATTCTTTAGCCATTCACCAAACATCCATCTATGTCAAATGAAAGAACATGATGAACTTATCATTAATAGATAGAAATATTTTCACTCAAAAAAGTATCAATGGCAACTCTTATATATTTTTCTGCTGTTAGAAATCGAAAAATTGGCCTTCTTTAGGCATTGATGAGCCGATTGAACCATGATGCACATCAATTCCGATGACAATCAATTGGTATATTTATAGAGTTTAGTGGCACACAATTCTTAAGAAAGTTGCACACTTGATCGCCTTTGCCTTTAGGAGCAATATCGAAGAATTTAAAACATCAAAGAAGTCAGCAATTACTGAAGCGAGTCGAAGTGTTTGTTAAGGTTTTGAGTATGAAGAAATCTATTGTAAGTATTATTAGATATACACCATTGAAGACGTGATCATATTCGTCCCAACTACAATAATCTCCCTTAATTATTATATGACTTTTCAGAACATCAAAACTTTATGAACAAGTAATTTCCTATATACCATTCGATGCGTCAAGAGTTGCTTTACGAAAACTGTATAGGTAGCTTTTCAAATGAAGAGTAGTTATCTTATTCGACAAGGTCCTTTAATTTCTTTATTCTGAAAAAACTACCTGTCTATATTAGACCTTTACCTAATCCATTATCACCAATTTTTTATCGAATGCCAGCTTCAATTCATAAAATGGAAACATATTTTACATATATTAGTGAAGGCACAGGAGCATTACTTTGTTATACACCACAAATAACACGTTGGATTGCATATGTTTCCTTTTTACTTATTTTATTGGGAATAAATGTAACAGGAAATTATGCTCATCTTGCACCACTAACAATAACAGAAATGATTTTACTTTTAAATGACAATGTTTGGCGTTCATTAATTCCATTTGAATTTATTATTTCATTTCTTGAATATACATCAATTCCACCATATTCAATAGCATGGCCATTTAAATTATTACCATGGATATGTATTGGTTTACCTTATTTTTTTATTTCACTTATACCATTATGGTCAACATTTCGTGATGAAAATCCATTATCATGGCCAATATTTATTCGTTATTCAATTCGTCCATTAAAATTAACACAAGATATATATCATAATAAATATTTTCAACGTTATTTTCTAATACCATGGAATTATATAATGGATTGGTCTGAATATGGTTATGATTTATTATCACCAATACGGCTTTGTGGTCGTTATGTTAAATTTGCTCATATGACAAAACGTCGTTGGGAAATCATTGTCGAAGGAAGTGATAATGGATTAGATTGGTATGAATATGAATTTAAATATAAACCATCAAATATAAATAAGCGTTTAGCTATTGTACCATTTTGTCATATGCCCAATCTAGATTGGAGACTTTGGTAAAATAAAACTGTTTTTTTTTATAGCTAATAAGAAAAAAATTATTTTATTTCATATTCAGGTTTTTACCAAATGACGCCGCTCGTGGTGCTCCACCACCACATTGGTTTGATATATTTTTAGAACGTATTCTTGAGCATAATCAAGCTGTTTTAGCATTACTTGGTCCATTACCAGAACCATTTCGTAATAAACCACCAAAATATATACGTGCATGGTTATATGATTATCGTTTTACTTATAAACGTGAGCAAGATTCAAAACAATTACTTGAAAATACACCACCTGATCAAATTGGTAAAACATGGTATCGTAATCGTGTTGGATTATATGCAGAAGCAAACAAAAGAGACTAGTGATACATTTTTTGATTATTATTATTATTATTATTATTAACCCCTCAAAGTCTAGTCGTCAAATAATCAAGAACAATGAATTTCTGTATCCATTTTTTTGTGTGTGGAATTTTCTTTGCTTGAACATTTGTCCTCGATGTGTTCCTTAACTCATTTGTGTTAGATTTCCTAAAATAAACTAATGAAGACCTTTAATCTTTCAAAAACAAAAGTGAAAATTGACAAAAAAGTATTTAAGATTCTTATTGATAAGTAATTTTATTTTTGAATGAAGCCTTTTGAAAAGTAAAGGTCTTCATTTCTGTCGATGAATATCTTGGGAAACTGTGTTTTTAGGTCCCATAAACTTCATAATTTAGGCATTATGCAGATAAAACAAATATCAATAATGTGAAGATTTGTTTCTAAATCTAACTTTGAGTATTACAATTTGAGAGAGAATGACAAAGAAAAAATGATTACAATAACAGATATAATCACGGAATTACTCGTATGAGTATCATACCGTGCTGCAATGACATTACATATATAATAAAACTAGATCAAACAATAAAATTATACGTTATGCAGATGAAGAAAAAGATGTCGAAAAGTGATTTTAGGTTTTACTTGCTTAATTAAAAGAAAAAAAAACTAAAATTTAATTTGAGCATTGATTTTAAACCTTAAACTTACATGCAAATAAGACGATAGTGAAAGTGTTAATGTTCCAATGGATTTATATGAACAAGCATACGTTACTGATTCAAAAAATGTTTAGAAGTAAGATTCTATCTATGATATATTTATATTAGAAAAATAAAAAATACTAAAAACGTTATTTTATTATCTGGTCAACAAGAACAAGTTATATCATTTTCTGGTCGTGATTATTCAATACAATGACATCAATAAAAAATTATTGAAGAAGCACCAGCCGTCATAGCACCACTTGGAGTTCTTGAACAAATGAAAAAAGCAGCTGTACGTTTAGCAAAAATGGTTGGTTATGTTAGGTTAGTTTATATCTTAAATAATTGAATTTATCAAATACATATTTTTGAAAAAAAAAACATTAGTGCTGGTACAATGGAATATTTATATAATCCAAATGATCAAACATTCTTCTTTCTTGAACTTAATCCTCGATTACAAGTGGAACATCCTTGTACACAAATGATTACTGATGTTAATTTACCTGCATATCAATTACAGGTATAGATCTAATTTAATTAAAAAAAACTTATAAAATACATAAATCTAAATATGATTAGATAATAGAAACTATGTTTGAGAGCTATTTCATATGATCAATAGTGTAATCTTTAGGAATGCCTACAACACTGATAAACATATACCTGAATAGAATAAATCTGTCGAAAAGGTTGTTTCTCTTTCTTAATACGAATGAATCACCCAAATATTATTTCGAATGAATTTCAAGTGCGATTGCTCAAGGTGAACCGAGACAAATATTTGATTTACTATAAGTTTACAGTTAGAAAATTATCAATGATAAATCAATGCTGTATTAGACATTGATTCTATTGAATCTGTTTATGTGTACTAGTTATGGATGCACCAATTTCAAGTCAAGAATTAATATTGGAATTGGTCTATCCGTAATACTACTTTTCATTGATTTTATTGATACTGCTCTATGATTCGGTACGAGCAATATACATATGCAACGTACCAGTCTGTGAAAGACTAATAGTGCTGATTAGAAATGCAAATGAATTCACTTTGACTAATTCTGTATTTTATTATTTTGTTTCGAGAAAAAGAATTCTTTCCTGAAAAGGTTAATGATTAGTTTTTGCTTAATCATGATTATCAACTGTGCCTGTTTCGGAATGCGAAAAGCCTATATTATGTCCAGGTTTTGACAGTTCAATTGACACATTATCAAGACATGTTTTTATAAAGACCAATTGACATAAGAACACATCATGTGAAGAATGAAAAGAGCTTAGACATGTGTTCGTTGAAAACATCTCTTGATAATGAAAGTTGAACTATTGAAACATTAATATAATATTTGAAAAAACAAATAAAAAATAGATAACTATATATATAATTTCATTTTCATGGTCCTATAATCAAACCTAATAGTTTTTAAAAGATATATCATGAATAAATTAAATTTGAAAACTGCTGTTAACTGAATCATTTTTATTCTCAAACTATTGTTGACAGGAAAAACATGCTCAAAATTATTTTTTTCCTCTATTCGCAACTCATTAGCAGAATCTTTGTTGATTGTATCTTCGTTATTCAATAATTTCTTATTTTATTGATGTCTATCAAAGATCATGAAGTGATTGTTTCTCAGTTCTTGTGCTGCTATTCGGTATTTTTTCTTGAAAACAATGTTTTATTTCTTTTCTTTTATGTTTCAGATGTTAGATTTATTGTTTTAGGTAAATACTGCGTGTGTAGAAAGATGTTAGAAAAAATTCAGAGAAACACACACAGTCACATTCCATTGTTACATACACTTGGGGTGTGAGAAAACAGTTATGATGATGACGCCAGAAAAAATAATAAAAAGTAGAACACCGAAATAAACCATAGATGAAATTCGGTCCGAGCAACCGTTCGATGATGATGAAATAAGAAATGATGAATCTGTTTGATCTATTTCAACAATTGTTGATTGGCTGTTATTAATTACACTACTTTGATGCATGTTGTTGATTTGAGTATTTTGTTTATGTGTATCATGACTACCGTTTTGCATATTGAAACCCATTCTTCTTCAGTAATGCTAGATGATTATTTGATATCAACTAGTATAAAATACTTCTCTGTACTCTATTTTATATGCTCTTGAATAAAATGGACTGTCGTGATATAGATGTGACTTTCAATGTTTAAAAAACAGTCAACGAGACGCCAGATTGGATAGCGTAACAAATAAATGCAGAACGCAAGAGAAAAAAGAACGACAAAAGAGTCTTGAAACAACATATGGGCCTTGATATAATTATAGTAAGAATAACAACAATAAGTGTAAATAATACAGTTTAATTTAGATATTCATATAATATGTCGAAATCTTCGATCTTTAACAATTTTATTGATATATTCATGTTTTGTTTCTTGTTAATGCTAGTCTGGGAATAAAAGTAGACTCTTGGTTACAAATGATGTCTTGTTGCTGATGATGACTGCATCCTTAAATATCGAAAATTTCTACATATTATATGAATATTTAAAATAGTTCCACTTATTGTTATTGTTCTTACAATGATTATTTCAAGTTTCACATTTATCTACTAGTTATACTCATATTACAGAAATAAATACTTGAAAATTTATTTCTTGTCATTATTTATACTAAGAGTTATATTATTTGTTTTAATGTTATGTTATTTGGGATATTAATAAAAGACGCTCCAACCACCCATGTAAAAATAAATCAAGAAAAAACGGGATTTTAATCGATTCTATTGTGATTAAAATGAGACGATTTTAATCAGATTCCTTGATTTTTAATCAATTTTAATTGATTTTAATCAGATCTCTTGCCTTTTATTCGATTATTTTTTATTTTAATCAGTTTTAATCGATTATAATTGATTATTTAATTTTTTTAATCCTTTTTAATCACGATAACCAAAGAATGCGTAAGCACAGGTCGTTGTCATCTCGCGAATTCAGGGATGTCTGACCGAGATTGGTTTGATGCTGTACCTGCTATTTGTCGACGCGAGGAGTCAGAAAAAGCAATAAAAAGCTATGATTTCTGGGCTAGAACTCGAGAAAAACGCAGTTTTTCGTTAACGCGATTACAACTGATTAAAATCAAGGAATCTGATTAAAATCGTCTCATTTTAATCGATTTTTTTGTGATTAAAAATCGATTAAAATCCCGTTTTTTCTTGATTTATTTTTACATGGGCTACTCCAACCGCCGTTTTACTCGAAAATATTATCAATCGATAAAGCTTTAAATTCTATATTCATGAGATTCCACTCTAAACCTTTTGCTTTAAAAAAACCTTTGATAAAAAAATGAAATACCATTTCAAAACGTTTTGCTCCAAGTCACTATATACCACCCTTAACTCTTCCGTATCCAGATCTCAAAAAAAAAAGTATTTTTTGTCAAGAAAAAAGTAATTGAAGTCACTCGTCGATATATCTGAACTTATTCAACTTATGTTTACGTTCCTCGGTGTTCTTCAATGAGTTCTTCGTTCTCTTTTCTCGGAACCATCTTTCCATATATATAATAATTAATGAAATGAATGTTATACATGTACTGCACAATGATTCATGTTTCTTTTACTATTTTTTGTTTTTCTGTTTTTTTCATATTGTTCTGTGTTTTCTTGCACACAAAAAGTGCTTTGTTAGTATAAGAGTATGAATGAATAGAAATGTATAATTGTTCGTTGCATATCATTGCGCGATTGCTATCGCTTAATAGATATGAGAACGTTAGGTTTATCTTCGCAGAGTCACTGTCGTGTCTCGAATGCTCTTTCCATCAGCATTGTGCCCAACCAATCCAGCGATGTTAAAAATACTGGGTATATTGGTAACAGACTGTTGTGGCTGAAAACTATAATAATTTGAAATAAAAGACAGAAAAAAATAATAATCAAAAGAAACATGACTCATGGTGCAGTGTATGCATAACATTCATTTCATTAGTTATTGTATATATCCTCGTGGCCAAAATAAACGGAACACCTTGTTTTTTCAGTTATGCATCTTTGCCTCGTTCGATTTATCTGAAATTTTCACCAAAGATACATCATTGATTACTTGATTTACAGTAAAAATTTCAGCTAAATATTCAGAGCCATTGCTGAGAAAACTAAAAATATGTGTTATGTACTCATGTAGCAGTGAAACCAAAATTTGTTGTTTTGCTGATTTTTCTGCTGTTTCAAATTTCATTTCATGTTCAAGGTGCTAGTTAATTAGCCCTGATGTGTAACAAAACACAGAGACATCTTAAGATGTCTCTGTGTTTTGCTACACATCAGGGCTAATTAACTAGCACCTTGAACATGAAATGAAATTTGAAACAGCAGAAAAATCAGTAAAACAACAAATTTTGGTTTCACTGCTACATGCGTATATAACACATATTTTTAGTTTTCTCAGCAATGGCTCTGAATATTTAGCTGAAATTTTTACTGTGAATCAAGTAATCAATGATGTATCTTTGGTGAAAATTTCAGATAAATCGAACGAGGCAAAGATGCATAACTGAAAAAACAAGGTGTTCCGTTTATTTTAACCACGAGGATATATAGAAAGATAGTTCTGAGAAACGAGAACGAAGGACTCATTGAAGAACATCGAGGAACGTAATCATAAGTTGAATAAGTTCAGATATATCGACGAGTGACTTCAATTACCCTTTGCTCGTCAAAAATTAGTTTTCTTTTTGAAATCTGGGCAATGCAGGGCGAGAGTGGTATACAGTGGTTTAGAGTGAGTGAATATAGAACGTTCGAAGCGGTATTTGAGTTTTTTTCCAAGTTTTTGTAAAGCAAGTGACTTGGAATGGGATCTCAAGAATATAGAATTTCAAGGTTTATCAATTGACAATATTTTTGAGCAAAACGGTGGATGGAGTGGATTAGAGCATCTTTTACTAATCCTCTGTGATTTGTATTATAGTCATGTTATTGCATTATGATCATGGATATATATCAGTACAATTCGACAAAATATATTATTTTTTGTCTTGTTTTTCTTCTATTGATGTGTTCATATTTTATTTTTTGTTAATGCTAGTCTCGGAATAAAAGGAGACTGTAGGTCACAAAGGATGGCTGGTTGTTGATGATGACCGCATTCTTTAAGGTCGAAAATTTCATGTATTATATGAAAATTTAAATTATACTGCATTATTTACACTGATGGTTATTGAAAATAGATCGACATCAAGACCTTGACTAATGATAAAGCAATTTTATTAAATACAAAATACAACAACAACATCAATTATTGTTTCATTAACATTATAAATAAATTAATGAAAAGTTCAATCAACAAATGAACAGATGAGTTCTCACACATCGGGACTTTGAATTAGAACCATTCTGTTTTGATACAGAAAAGAAAAGATCTATTCAAAAGAACCAAAACATGAAAATATATCATAGTGAAATTGCAGTCATTCATCTTGTAGGCATTTTAGCTGGACAATTTTTGCAAGTCCTAGCTTCCGAGAGGGACATAACATCTTTAGATACTAGCACTTAAAATTTTTAAAGAAATTGACTTACCTGTTCATGCAAAAGGGAAACATAATTTTTGGTCAGTAATATAAATGAAATGGTCAGTAATGTATTATAAAATGGTCAGTTTTTTTTTATATACAAGTATCAGTAAAAACGCAGATTTGATCAGTCGAGAAAAAACAACTTTATTTGTATAAAGATTAATTTAGTGCAAGAATATCTACAAAAATTTTGCGGCTATTGGCGGCGATAACGACTAAGACGACTGGCTTACATCTCTACCGACAACATTATTTTATAAACTTTGGGAGAAAATAAATATACGAAAAATAATACATTCATACTTATACAATCGTTTTTAATCAATATAAATAATTAATTGTATATTAATATACTGCTTTTCTATATATAAGACTAAGAATTTATTAGAACACGTAAAAAAATTTGCTGTTCTTGTTCTTCTATTATATTATGATAATGGAAGCAGATAACGTGAAGAGTATTCTATAGAGAATATTTGAATTTTTTCACATTATGATTGATCAATAATCATACAGTTTTGACTTTTACAATTTAATTTAGATGTAACAATGTTCTTTCAATGATCCTTTTTTTTTATATATATCACTAGAAAAATCATCTTCTATTGACAATAAATATAACGAAAGAATGTTTTTTTGTCTAATTTCAAATAGTGTTTATCATTTGAAATATATTTGAATTTCTTTTTGTTAATGAATCCGTTACTTATTTCAAAAAGAAATTTTCTTCTTAAGCCAATTCCAAGCTCTGTTAAACCAATTGAGAGTTTTTGGTGTAATTTGAATATTAATTGTTGTACCATTCTTTGTTGATGCCGTTATTGAAAATTCGTAATAATTTCGACTCGTTGATGTCCATGTTAATGAGTCAGCTGGTGATACCTTAATAACATTACCATTTGGATAATTTAAATCTTCATTTATATAAATAATTGTTGGTTGTTGAATATTTGTATTAACGGTAAAATATAATACAAAGTTGCATGATATTGGTTCGAAGTACATAAGTATTGGTTGACCTTATTATTAAAGAAAAGTGACTACAATAAAAAAAAACAACAACAACAAGAAGAAATAATACCTGCAATTGCTTGTGCATATGATCGTGAGAGTGCTTTTACTTTATTCATTTCTAATTCACCATCTTCAGTATAGAATGATTCAGTTGTTGCTGGACTTGCTGCTGTGGTTAAATCTTGATATTTTTTAAATTGCCAATAAGACCAGCCTAAGTAAATAAAACCAAAAACAAAGTTGTTGTTTTGGAAGACTATCAATGTCCTTATTCAAACTTACTTTGAAGAAATTCATCTGCTAATCCTGTTATTCGATGAATTTCTTTAACACCTTCTGTAGAATTACTTATAGCACCAAATTCTGTTAACATCATTCCACCAAATTTCTTCTTCTTGGCTTCTTCATATCGTAAACTGATAAGAAGTGCATCGTCTATATCACAAAGAAGATCTGATTTTGGATCACCTTGTTTTGTAACATCAATACAATAAACATGATAACTAAATGCTTGTCGATCATTATAATCAATACCACCAGGTCCTTCTTCAAGTCCTGTTTGAAGAAGATCAGCAACACATGGTTCAAAAAATATAATATGTTTATCATCGACTTGACGAATAACTTCATGTAATTTTTTATACATAGGTGCTAAATAAATGCGATCAACATCGCCTACTTCAATGACTTCAACAAGTTTAGGAAATGATGGTTCATTAAGTAATTCATAACCAAGAACGGATGAACGATCAGCAAATGTATTAGCAACAGTTCGCCAAAAAGAAGCAAATGAATCAAGTGTACCATTGCCATTTGTATATCTATATGATAATATATATTACATAAGACAGATAATCTGTAAGATGCTGGAAATGCAAAATTAAAGTAGAAACATTCTTTTCTTTATTTATCTTCACATAGACTGTGATGAGCTGATCAAACAGATGTGCGTTTTCAATTTCTTTTTGTATGATTTTTTTATCTGAATATTTTCAATTTTTTCATTTCTTTTAAATTTCAAAACTGTTTCTTTCAGATTTAGCGAGAAAAATTGAACTTGAGAAACTCATTAATTAATGAGTTTCTCAAATTTAATTTTTCTCGCTAAATCTGAAAGAACTAGTTTTCAAATTTAAAAGAAATGAAACTATTCAGATAAAAAAATCATTCAAACAAAATTGAAAACGCACATCAATTTGATCAGCTCATCACGGTCTATCTGAAGATAAATAAAGAAAAGAAAATTTACTTACAGCATATTAAATCCATGTAGAACAGCTTCAGAAAAATAATATTCAAAAAAAGGATGTTTAAGACATTCATCCAGTTTTGGATAACCTGTATCAGGTTCTCGTGTCATGTTAGGAGCAACCGGAAATGGAAAAGCTTTAACTGTTGTATCACCTAATTTTTGTGCTATCCAATCAGGTACACCTTCACCACAAAAATATCGTGAAAAAACATCTTGATGACAATCAAGTAATGCATAAATGCCTTTATTTTCCATCATTTGTAAAGCTGTTGATAATTGTGAAAGATATTCTTGATTAATATTATTTTCTGATGTTGGATTTACACCCATCCATGATGTATAAAAACGAATAACATTAAAACCCCATTGATGTAAATTATTTAAATCGTCATCTGTTAAAGAATTTTGTGGATCAAATTGAGTTAGATCTGGTAGATAAGGTGGAACTTTATAAACAACATTAACACCATGAAATATACGTACACGGCCATATTCATCAATAAAATGTTGAGTCTTTGGATCAACTTTAATACGAGATAATTCACTATGACTAAGCGCAACAAAAAAACCGAAAAAGAAAAGATATATGATGTGCGGCATTTTGGTTTAAATGTATTCGCGAAACAATAGTATTTATATCTATTATTATATATACAGATGGTATTTATTCCCATATCATGTACATACACGTCTGAGTATATGCAATGTTTTATAAAGAATGAAATAAATAATAAAAGCATCTGTTGAATATAGCTATATATCTAGATTAACAAACATTTTATTGACTTTTATCTTATTCATTTTTTATTCTAGTTGGTTATCATTATCAATATCATCTTCTTCTTCTTCGAATAATTTTGTTTGAATTTCTTGTTGATGAATTTGACGTTTATGTATTTTTTCTTGATGCATTTTCATAGCAAATTCCAAAGCTATTTGAGCATTTTTATCAATAATATTATTCATATCTTGTTGCCATTTATTTGTTATTTGTTGAAATTGTTCAAGAAAAATTGTTTGTTGATAACAATTTGTATAATTTTCACGTATATAATTAATTAATTCAGTTTTTAATTTTTGTGAAGCAAAACTTGATTTAAGGGCATTTTCATTTAAATATTGCATCTATGAAAGAAATAATTGATAGCAATTCTATTAACGACTGATTATAAAGTTTGTCGATTACACGTTTGTTCACTTTTAACTCACATAATCTTTGAAAAAATCAAAACAATTAGTTTAGAGGGAGAATTTTTTGTATTTTCATTATTGTGATTCGAAGCTAACAGCTGAAATCTTCATTTATATGGCAGCTTGTAGATTAGAAACTATACTACAAGATGTACGATTTGAAGTCTTTCTTGTCTTTTGACAAGAGATTTCAATTTTCAGTTTTCCTAAACACTCATTTGTGAAAAATCGACAAATATTTTACATTGAAAGAAGGTGTTTTGAAAAAATACCAATTGTCACGCTAGGGTAAATGCTACAGCTTAGTTTAATATCACATTTTGTAGAAAAGTATTCGCTCTACAAAATGATCAACTCCAACAATTTTCAGAGTGTTTGAACAGGAACTTCTAAAGTAAAAACCTGTTAGCTCATCATAAAAAATACTTTTTCAGGTATCTCAAAAAGTTCTTCACTATTCTTAAATAAAACAGACACAGCATTAATAAGTCCATATTCAAATTCCGTTCACAGTCTATATATTTTTGCTCATCTGATTGGGCATTCTGAAGATTATTGCACTACTCTCAAACAAGAACCGAGAAAACAAAAATTTCTAAGCCCATATTCAAAAAGAACATCCTAACTCATGGCCTTTGATTAGTCAAAAATACCTTCTAGCAGATCAACCGTAAACAAACATTTTGTCTAAAAATTTTTCCATCATCCAATATTTAAACAACGATTAACTTACATGTTCACAAGTGAAAAAAAAATTATTTTTTTCAAGAAGATTTTTATAAATAAATGATAAACTCTGTTTGTATTGCAATGGAGAAAATGATGTAATTGAATAATTAATTAATTCGGATTGTAAATAATTCATTAAATTAAATGATTTTATCTCATTAGAATCTTTTTCGTTATCCAAACTATTTAATGAGCTTGTTGAGTGATATTTTCGTTTTTTTCCAATATTTGATAAAATATTATTAACTTGAGAATTAGCAATTGCGTAAGTATTCGATGTTGGACATAAGATAAGATGAATACCATGTTTTATGAAAATATTTTCCATATGTTTTGATGATAAAATTATTTCATATGCTTCACATAATCTTTCGATATTTAAACCTTTAATAACATCCTCAATTAATTGTAGATCTTTATAATTATTCATGCTTGCTTGATATTGTATATGATAATAACGTAAAATTTTTGTATATTTATAAAAATTATGCCAATATTTTCGACAATCATGTTCTTCACCATAAAAATCAATACCAATAATTTCATTGGGATAATTACGAGCAAAGCAAATGAATTGATTCAAACTTTTTACATTATTCCAATTACAACCTTTAAAAATAATTTTGATTACAAAGAAATAGGAACCAACATTTTTCTTACTAAGAATAATTTTTATATGAATTGGTAAAAGTTTAATGTTATATGGTAAAAAAGATGTCATTGTTGTTTTATTTAAGATTGTATTTGATTCTGTTAAAGTATTTATTTCATCATTAACATGATTAGTAGATGTAAAGAAACGAATACAATCAACGATAACTTCCTGAAAATACCTTTCAATAAAAATTAGATCGTTTTTTTTTTAATTTTTTTTTAACAATTTACTATAACATCTTTCAATTTTATATTTGAAATTTTATTTTCAAAATTGAATATATCGGGTCGAAAAAGAATTTCCGTATAAATAATACGTTGTTGTCGTTGATCATTTATAAGTTCTTGAAATATTCGTTGTAATAGACAATGATCATGCTAAGATAGAATAATAACTAATGTCAAAATTTTTCTTTTTAACATCAATTTACTTGAAAAATCTCAGCAATAATTTGTTCATTATTACTAAAATGAATACCTTTAGACAGTGCTAAATGTTTTAATGTTCGTTCTCGTATAGCACCGTGTAATAAAAGATTAAGTTCTATTTTAGGATTATGTTCCGAAGGTTCAAATTCGTTTAACCAATCTAAATGACAACGTGTCTGTAATTCTGCTTTAAGTTCATGTACATGATCTGTTAATTGTTTTGTATAAAGTTCTTCAGATATGGAATCAGATGATGATGATGATGGATTTGTAAATATACTTGAATCACCTGATAAAAGACTTGCAGGACCAGTATTTGTTGAGTCATTTAAAGCTATTTGTATTTCTGAATCATTTTCCATGAGCTATATTCGATAAATATCTTAATTGACAAATAAACTTGGCGCTCTCTAAATGTAAATGAGATTAATTTTATAGTTCTATTACATGATTAAACATTAATTGACATGAAATCTTAACTAAAACTCGTCTAAAATGGCAGATTCCCGTTTCGTCGAAAAATTAAATTGTAACGAAAAAGAGTATAACCAGAGTGATAAGCTCAATTTCGATTGTTTCCCTAAAAACAAACTAATTGATATCCCTATACTAACAATCTGTAATTTTGTAAAAGTATATATATGTGGAGTAAAAAAGAAAAATTCATTTTTTTTACTATATATATTTATTATTACACAAAATGATGCTATCTATTGTTCAAAGTAAACGTAATAAACCAACTTTATGACTTGATACCTTTCGCTACACACAAGATAAAATTTTAAACAACTATTTATTGGAAATGTGAAAATCGTTTATGTTCTGGATATGATATACAATATGGTTCAAAGCCACCGAACATGAAGAAATCACATAATGATGATGATGAAGTGAAATGTTAAGTGGAAGAATTTAGAATGAATTTAAAACGACGTATTGAAGATTCATCACAACCAGTGAGAAAATCTTGCAGAGAACAAATAATATCATGATATCTTGAAAAAGTTATGCGATTAATCGGAATAAAAAAGTATTAATTCTTTTCTTTTCTATATTCATATTTTCTCTTAATAATTTCTTATTCATGTATCTAAACCTACACTATAATAAGTTTTCGTTTTGACAAATTTATCTACAAGTAATTAGACATTATTCCTGATTAGTATGACGAAAAAGTCTCATCAAATGATATCATCTATTTTTCATTAATTAATTAGAAGTTATTTTTCGACGAAACAGGACTAGTCGTTTTTTCATTTTCGACGAAACGGGACCTAATCATCTAAAATGTATTCAGGTAAAACGTAAGTGAAGTTAGCACAAGATTGAGTAAATCCTGCCAAGATTCATACAAGAACATGTTCCAACTATGTCAGTGTGTGTTCCAAGTACAACTCAAAAAGCGCTATCGAATGGTGCGCTCCGATTCCTGATAGCTCAAACCAAGTCCGAGAAAATCGGAAAATACTAGATTTTCGCCATAGACGGCTTTCCATCCATATAGTAAAACCTGCCAAGATTCGTGCAGGAAGATATTCCGGATGTTCCAATCAGGTTCCAAGTACTACTCGATGAGCTCCATCGAATGGTATAATCGGTTACTCGATACCTCAAACCATGTCCAGAAAATCCTGAAAGACGGATATACCAGTAGAGAAGACTTGGACTTCATATGCTGAAAGCTGCTAAGATTGTTAAAGCAACATGTTGGAGATGTTCCATTTGTGTTCTGGGTAGAGCTTACTCAGTTATATACAATGGTTTACTCAGCTGTAGAATATCTCAAATCGTATGTGCAGTAACTCCAAGCATGTGCCCAAACATATGTGAGTTTGTTGCTGATTCAGCAAAAGTAGCTGGTATTTCTCAAGGAAGATGTTTCGAGATATTCCATTTGTGTTCAAAGTAGAGTTGGATGCTCTTCATCCAATAGTGTTTTTGATATTTTCGGGTGTAGGTGTGGGTATGACTTAATGAGAATCACACCCACACCCAAGATTAACAACTGCCAGTCTTTCCTAATACCTATTTCTGTTATTATATAATGAACAAAACATCATAACCATAAACCTTCATTTTCATATAGATATGATTTGCGAGCAACGATAAATTATCAACACAATCATTTTACAACTACTATTATCGACTCTGTCAATCGACTCTTTATCTTCAATGACTTTTCAGGTGGCACTGGAGTAAAATATTCAAATGATCATGTCAAAACAGCATTATACGTATTAAAACAATAATTTACTGCTTGCTTTTCTTTTTCTTTGATATATAACACATTAAAACGATCTTTAATACACTCACTAAAAAAATTATGTTATCTAAATAAAATTACTTACGGAGCACATCGAATATATAGTCATTACTAAGTAACCAGAAAAAACGTTAAAAACAGTTGCATTCCATATGACTTATATTTTCACAGAAGCACGACTAGTTGAAATCAAAGATCAACTGCATATACTAGAAAAAACAAAATTAGAATAGATTTCACGACATATTTCCCCCTGCAACGAAACAATTCATTGACCTATCTGCTGTCTTCTACAGTATAAAAGACTTCGCTAAGGCAGTTCAGTCAATCGAAAACATGAATACAATATTTGATAGAGCATATAAAGTTGTGCCTAAGACACTAAGGGAACATCTGGAATATCTTCCTCGGAGAATGTTGGCCGGTTCTACGATTCCAAACTAAAAATTCCTGCGCTGACACACTGGTATTTTTGGACTTTCGGGGCCGCAGTTTGACATACGAAAAATCTGAATGTACCATTGGATAAAACCCATCAAGTTGTATTCGAAACATAAATGGAACATCTAGAACATCATCCTGAAAGAATCTTGGCTAGTTTTACTATATGATGTCGAAGTTTTCGACGCCGATGCAGCGGTACTTTCGGATGTTTTGGGCGTAGTTTGAGGTATCGAGTAACCGATTATACCATTCGATGGAGCTCATCGAGTAGTATTTGGAACCCGATTGGAACATCCGGAATATCTTCCTGGAAGAAACTTGGCAGGTTTTACAATAAAAAACAAAAGAGGCCTGTGCTGACACACTAGTATTTATGGATTTTCGGAGACACAGTTTCGGCTACACAAAATCTGAATGTGCCATTGGATAGAACTCATCCAGATGTACTTGGAACATAAGTAGAACATTTGGAACATCATTCAGAAAGAATCTTGGCTATCTTAACTGTCCACAACCATCGATTCCCGCACTAATACACTAATATTTTTGGATTTTTTACACGTGGTTTCAATTATCGGGTATTTGATTATACCATTCGATAGAACTTGGCACGTTTTACTTGGAACATAAACGAACCATCTAGAATATGTTCCTGGAAGAAACTTGGCAGGTTTTACTGCGTAAAATCCAGGATTTTTGTGGTGATACACTAGTATTTTTGAATTTTCTCAGACACAGTTTGAGTTATGGAAAACCTGAATACACCATTCGATAGAGCTCGTCGAGATACACATAGAACATAAATGGAACACTTGGAACATGTTCCTGGACAAATCTTGGCAGATTTTACTGGTAACACGAATGTTGCTCCCCGGACACTTGCTCCCCAGACATTTGCTCCCCAATGACACTTGCTCCTCAGACAACTGCTCCCCAGACACTTGCTCCCCAATGACACTTGCTCCCAGTGACACTTGCTCTCCAGTGACAATACTGAGTAGAATTTTTGCGACTTACAAGAACAATGTATAAGTGTATGAAATTCAGATATGGAATATAATAATAGAATAAGAAAGATTTTATTAATTAGAAATAATAACAAAACTAGTAAAATAGAAGTATATTATTAGAGAAAATATATTCCAATATATATTCAATTTTAGATGTAAATCGATCATTGATTTCATGNTAAAGAAACGGTATTATGACCTGAGATTTTCAGGCTATATTCCTAGACGTTCACAAGCTAAGTATACATATAAAATATTTTGCATTATTGCTAAATTTCTACTATTACTAAAATACACGTACAAATTTTGGTATTTCATTATTTGAATTTATTTTCGTTACGATCAATTCTATGCTATAGATAGAGCGTTTCAATAGCTACAAAAATATGTCTAAATTATTGATAAATTTTAGTTTCATAATGAGGAACAAAATACAACATAAGAAAGAAGGATAGAATAGTAATTAGTATCAAAATTAAATAATTCTATCAAAACAAATGATCTCTATTAAATCGAAGTTTTTACCCATAGTGAGTATACCAGTACACTCTTATAGTTACACCAAACTTCAACTCAAAAATAATTCTTACGAGGGAACTACTCGAACTGATACCTGCTTTTTGAGCTCATATTGGATTCACAACAAGACTTCGCTAAGACTAGAAAAATTCTAAAATGGTTCATGTCCATGAGTCTCTGGAGTCGAGTTATGACCGTTTTACTGAATTTTCGATCTAGCTTTAGATATTTACTGAAAAATCAAATAACAATAAATCGATCTGAAATTTCGTCCATAAATAGATCGAATGACTAGTAGAACATGCTAAAAGTTTCAGCCGAAAAGAATATTCCTTTGTCCAGATATTGAATTTTCAAGTAAACTCGATTTTTGTGGCATATCTGTGGCAAACGACTATGTTTTGATAATTCAATATCTTGACAAAGGAACACTCTTTTTCGATTGAAACTTTCAGAATATTCTAATACTCATTCGAACTGTTCATGGGCGAAACTTCAGATCGAAATATTGTTATTTGATTTTTCGATAAATACTTAAAGCTGGATCAAAAATTCAGTAAAACGGTTATAACACAGTTCTAGAAGTTCATGCACACGAACCCTTTTAAGAATTTTCTAGTCTTATCGAGACCTTTTTGTAAATTCAATATGAGCTCAAACGGTGAGTATCAGTTTGGACAGTTTCCTCGTTAGTGAGAGTTTTTCTTGCTTTCCTGTGAGCATATACCGTTCCAGTATAGATTTCGTATTTAATAGATTTGTTTGTTTGTCTTCACTTAAGATGGAACATTTTCAAAACAAAAATATCTTTGTCTATTAGGTTGTCCTAAGTCGTATCAATTATAAAAGTAATTGAACAAAAAAAAAAAAAAAAATAAATTCTAGCGGAGCAGAAATAATATTGCAAAAAGGGATCAGCTTTTTTTTTTTTTTTTGAGCACTCTGTATTTCATTGCAATTATCTGGTAAATTAGTGTAAGACACAATAAAATGAATTGATAATCACAAATTTAGAAATGTTATTTTCTATATTGAAATGAATAGAACAAATCTTATTCATAATCTTGTCTTGTTTCCAACTATAATTTTAAACTTACATTAAAACGTCTCCAAAAATGTAATGATAAATTATAATGATCAAAAAATACTGCCCATAAAAATAATTTAACATTAATTAATTATATTTCATCTTTTGCTGTTTCACTATTTTTATCGACCTAAAAAATTTTAAATTTATATTTATATTTTTATTATTGAAATTTAATTTACTGATCGATAAACATCTTCAAAACTACATCCAAAATCTTTTTGAATACGTTCAAGAAAAGATCATGATTATAATTCTAAAAGAAATAAAATTAATTTAATTTAACAAAGAACATCTCTTTCTTTGTCTCCCAACTATTTTTGAACTTAATTCATATTCAAATTTTTCTCCAAGATCATCTGATGTTATACTACAAGTATCTTCTAATACATTAAGAAATTCTACTTGCTCTCGTATAATTGCTGTTAGTCTGTTGACTAACTAAATACCTCTTGTCTTTATTTACTATATCCTTGTTCACAACTACTCTACATAACAAAACAAAACAAAACAAACTACTCCATATCTAGTCACACATAACGTAAACAAAACATAAGTATGTAGAGTGACCAATGAAGAGAAATAGAGAGAAAATAGAGGTAGTGGATAGCAGATAGCGCCGCTACCTAACAATTGCCATTTTAGCTAATTGTATTAAATCCTATAAAGAATTTTAATTTATTATTTTATTATAAAAGAAAACTAGATAGCATTCGAGTTTCACTCGATTGAGAAATGCAGTGCGAAGCTACGAATGTCAATCATCGAAAAAATCGATATATCATAAAAACGAATAATCGTTTTTACGATGAAATTGCCTGAGATATTTACAGTGTACAGCAACGAGTTTCTTTCGTGTCGCTCTTATTGAAAACTCGAATTATCTAATGATCGAAATATAAAAGGAATGATAAAACAGACTTGGCAAAATTCATTATTACGAGAATTCTATCAACGCGTATCAACATGTTTTTAGTGGATGCTGTAGATTTATCGTTTAATTATCTATATGATTCGTTATCTATTTTCAGCTATCCACAAAGCTTTGATGAATAAAATCATCTTGTCATCATTTTAATTGTTTTGAAGGTTGAAAAAAAGCTAAGTCCACAAAAAGTTGTCTTTTTGGGTGACTTTCTCTAAGAAAATGGCACGTTCTGTTGAAGATTTGAAAACGAGTAGTATAGATACGATCATGAAATTTCATCTTCACCTTTGAACCAGTATTTTTTATCATTTCGTTCTCGATATCATCGTGACCGAAAATGATCGCTTTGAATGCGTACGTCTAGTAAGTAAAACAAAGAAAAGAAAACTCGCAAACGACTATGTAAATTCTGTGCGAAGCGATCTCAAATTTCTGCAACGAAGTTTGCATTAACATAAGAACGATAAACGATTTCATCTAGAATCGATCTTGTCCTATCGAGCGTTTTCATTATCACTCCGGCTCATAGCAACTGACTGAAGACCAGCTCATCACTTTTAATTATCTCAAGTAAAAGATGGAGACCAAATCGTCGAAATCGTCATTTTGCGGAACTTATTGAAGATTTAAAAACGTTTAGATCATTTTGAGAAAAAGTTCGAACGAGTTTCTAACGACTCGTCGTTCTTTATATCACCGCGACATAAAGTACAGCTTTTTTTTACAGCAAAAAAAATACGCAAAATATGAAGGCCGAGTGCATACGCGACCGACTACAGAAATGCTGTGCTTCGCACTGCATTAAATATTTCAATATTTTACTTCTTCTAACATATCTTGATTTGTACGTAACATTTGACTAGCAAATTTTCGTTGATTTAAATCAAAAGCTAATGATAAATGCAATTTCAATGATGATAAACGTTGGCTTTGATTTTCTATGAAAACAAAAATAAAAAATTTTAAATAAAATAATAAAAAATATTAACCTTTTACTAATGCTTCAAGAAGATATAAAGAAAGATCATCATCTTCATCACAAACACGTACTTGTTTACATTGAGTTATTGCCAAATAAGTAACTAATGTTATTAAATCATTAGTTAAATCATCACCAAGTAATTGATGAACAAGTACTTTTAATTCTCGAAGAAATGTTCTTGTTAATATTTTTGAATAAAGTTTTTTTTTTATAGAAAATATATTCATTTTTTTTTTCTTGATTATATTTTTATTAACTTACTTTCGTTTGAAATTCTGTACACATGTTCCACCACTTCGAATCTTATCACAAGCTCAAGCAAGAATATCAGCTAATCCACCAGAACCCTAACAAAAAAAATATATATTTTCTTATTTACGAGTAACTTCATTTTCTACTATTATCAAAATATCTAATATATAAATGTACTATATAGTAGATATTAATTTATATTCAGAGTTTCATGCATAGCTAACAATTGTTTTGCAATATATATCGATGATTATAACTGTTATTTTTTATTATCCATCCTCTTGAAATATAATGTCCAACAAATGCTCAACGTATCTTCTTTGTTCAGTTTTTTTTAAAATACTCTAAATAAAATGGAAAAGACTTCAAGTATGATGTCTCATTAATAATAGGTCTCGCAATCGGATCAATTTTTGATAGCTCAAGCTTGATCCATACTGGGTCAGAAACTGCTCATATCTGTCGGTCGACTCATCTCAGCTCAGCTCAGAATAACACTATGAAAAGTGTATTTCTTTTACAGAAAAGGTTTCTGCAAGATAGAACTTCACAATCATTTTAGTCATTTATGAGAACATTGTATAAAAGTTTATTATCATAGTAATCCCAAGTTGAGTAAGGTCAGAAAATTTTAATGCTTAAAAAAACAACATGAGCGATAAATTGAATTACTTATTGAACCGAAAGCGCAAAATTCGTTTGTCGGTACTGCAAATTTCTTGAAGACTATCATTTATCAAGAAAAAGATTTCACGAGTAAAATGCCAGCTGATTAATTTCAAAGACTCAAATCGGTTATTATTTTTAGTACACAATTAACACTGTTCCACTTCAGTAACACTCATGTGATTTAATATAGTTGATAGTGCATTGCACTTTGTGTGTGAATGAGAAATGTCATCGAACTGAGTAAGTGCTCTGCTTTTACTTCTTTACTAAATGAAACTTAAAAAGTCTTTACATAATAAAGATTCCTGATTGTTATCAGTTGTGACGTGTGTATAACCCATTAGGGATGATGCACCAATTCTTAGACTATGGTTTCAAAGATGACTTTTTTTTAGTATTGAGAATCCGTTGTCCTGCCAATTATTTATAACACTTCTGCTCTGTTTTGATTTATCTATCCGAAATTATTGTAAGATTTCATCGAATCTAAAAGAGAATTTCGGAATCGGTCGAAAATTATGATTTTTAAGACAAATTTCGACCAATTCCAACCAATTCAATAAGCTTTTTGTAATATTCAAATAAATCAAAAAATAGCATCGGATAAAATATTCAAATTTGATCATAACTGGCATAAACAATTGATATGAATCTATTGATTCTCAATATTACAGATATGTTATTTTTGACTTGATGTTCCAGGAATTGATGCATCCATACCAAAAGACAACATATTTCCAATATTCAAAACTGCAGGTTTTCATCAGTGGCTCACATCAACCTTGAGCAACTCTTTAACTACTCTATCCGATGCTATTATTTGATTTCTTCAAATATTACAAAAAAAGCTAACAGAATTAGTTGGAATTGGTTTAATTTTATCTTAAAAATCATAAGTTTCGACCAATTCTGAAACTGTTGTTTTATATTCGATGAAATCTAACAATAGTATCAGATAGAGCAATCAAAACTAAGTAGAATTGTCATAAACAATTGGCAGGATAACGGGTTCTCAATACTAAAAAAATATCATCTTTGAAACTATGCTTCAGAAATTGGTGCATCTTGATAACCCATGTAGAAAACTTTGATGAAAAGTTAGAATAAAATCGATTTAAATGATGCTATTTAATTCTGATTGAAATTCGATTTTTCAGATTTAAACACAGATTTCAATTGATTTTTAGTCATTTTTGATTCATTAAATAAAGTTTTATTGATTAAAACTTTTTTAAAATTAATTAAAAAAGATAAAATTTAAAGCAAATCTATCTTTGAAGTTGAAAAATCAAATTTTTATCGAATTCAACTAGTACCATTTTAATCGATTTTTAGTTAGAAAAAAAATCTATTAAAATCAGTCTTTTTTTTTCTCTATTTTCTTACGTGAAAAATTGTCTTTGAGGTTCGAATCGGACGGTCCGACAGAAATTTAGGCTCACCCTGCCCAAAGAACAATCTCTCTGAGTCAAGCCGAGAAATACATTTTAAGGCATGATAGATAACAACTAATACAGAAATAAAAGTCACGTTTTTTTTGTGTTTAAGAGGAACTAACAAATTCAGTTTGAATTCATTGCAGAATTTTTTTTTTACATACTCTTATAATGACCAAGCCAAGTTTTCTTCGATCAAGTTCAGCATTCAATAATCAATAAATTGGTTCAATATTGTTTGTATCACCACCATAAAGTAACATTATTTTTAGTATACTAACTATAAATCGTTTAAGAAATTTTTATTTCATTAAACATACAAGAAAAAAAAAAGATTTTAAATTTATCACATTCATTTTTATCATTATCTCGAATTCGTTCAATTTCTTCTACACATCGTTGTAATAGACAACATTGATTAATTAAATCTTGTTTTTTTCTTCCATATAAAATAATACGTGATAATCATTTATTTAATATACGATTAAAATTTGTAATTGTTTCAGTTTTTGTATTATCTTGATAACCATTTGAAATAGCATCAACAAGTGATTCATAATTATGTGGAGTATTTTCTAACTAAACTCAAACGAAAAAAAAAAAAAAACTTGACTTCTTTTTCTTGAATAAATCTATGAAGAATTTTTACCGGTATTGAAGAACAAACATCCACACCAATTGTAACAAATTATGATAAAGGTATATCATTAGGTAAATATTGTTTTCTTGTTATTTGAATAATACGTCGAGCAACTGAATCCTAAAAACAAAAAACATAATAGATAAAATTCAAAGTCTTATTTTCTTTCTTTTTTGTTTTTTCTTACATGTCGAAGTTTACAAAATAACCATTGAGCATCTTGATCATTACATTATTTATTTCGTCCTAAAATCAAAAAGAAAAAACAATTCTAAATTTATTCAAGGCCCTCTTCAAAAATCGATCTCAGTCTAGGAACGTTGAAATGGCATGAAATTTTCAGGATCTGTTGGGGCTATAGTGGATAAGCTATGGTAAAATTTTCAGCCCGATATCATGATGTTTGAGGATGATATTGACCAAACAAGGGTCAAAAATAGCTCATTTGGCAAACCAAATTTCTCTGTCCATGTTCATTCTAGAGATTTAATTTTCTTTTTTTGTTTTTGTTTGAAAGAGCATGTCAGGATGCAGTGCAGTACAGAGCCTTTTTTTTAAATACTTACTTTTTTAGGAAAAAAAAGAGATCGAAAGTTCAATGGCTCAAAAAACTCTTAAAACATTGGTGTCGAGTTATATAAGTCTCTGTATATATAATAAAAAAAGCGTTTTGTACTGCACGACGTCTTGACGTGCTCTTTGAAAAAAAAAATTAATACATTGAATGAGTATCAACAAAGAAATTTGGTTTGCGCACTCAAGAAACTATAAACGGAGAAAAAACGAAAAAGATTTTCTGTTTTTTCTAAAAACAGCTTATTTTTCGAATAAGGAAATGACAGAAGTCTTCAAAAATTTTCGGAAAAAACAAGGTACCGAGTAAAAATTGTTGTCGCTTATGAAAGATCATATGACGAACTAGCTTCCTATGCATTTATCTTAATTTCGACCATTCTGACGAAAAGTGACTTTTTTTTAGGAGGGTGTGGCCTTAATAATGATTTCAATATATTAAACATTTGTCTTACTTTCATCCACGTTTTATAACTTCTTACAACTTCATTCAAGGTAAAATTTTTGCTACCAGATAAAGGTATTTAGATCGGCTTCGGTAGGAAAGCTCCGAAATCTTTTACATAGGCGAATGATTTATTTAATGCACCAGCATTCTTCGTAAAAAAATAACGTTCTAATTTTTCCATTTTTAATGCAAAAAAAAAAGAAAAAAGAAGCATAGATACAATAATTTATTAAATGAATTTATTTAAATAACAAAAACAGAAACAGCAAAATTATACATAATCACCACCACATTATTTTAGCTGAATATGGATTTTGTTTTCGAGCTAAAATGTTTAATAATAAATATACCAATTCTTCTAATTAACTTTCATTTTTGTTAAATGTCTTATTGAAAAGATTCATTGTGTATTGATATGTTCACTTATCCACTATTTTCGTTGCACAATATTGATATGATTCGTTAGAAAATCTAAACATTTTTTGTTCATTTCGAACTGATTTTGTTGTTGCTCATTTAAACCCTGAATAAATTTGTTACCGAATTCTTCATAATGTGCTTGTTGATCTTTCTGGATTTGTATAACATTTTGAGTAAGTTCATGTAATTGGTTAAATTGGCGTTCATTGACATTTAATTGAGATTTTTGGAACTCCATTATATTTTGTTGCTGCTGATTCAATTGGTTAAATTGGCGTTCATTGACATTTAATTGAGATTTTTGGAACTCCATTATATTTTGTTGCTGCTGATTCAATTGGTCAAATTGGCGTTCATTGACATTTAATTGAGATTTTTGGAACTCCATTATATTTTGTTCCTGCTGATTCAATTGGTTAAATTGGCGTTCATTGACATTTAATTGAGATTTTTGGAGTTCCATTATATTTTGTTGCTGCTGATTCAATTGGTTAAATTGGCGTTCATAAACATTTAATTGAGATTTTTGGAGTTCCATTATGTTTTGAATGATTTGTTGCTGTTGATTCAATTGGCTTTCTTTACCTACTAATTCTTCTTTGGGAAATTGCACCATTGTACTAAATATTTGCTGTTGATTTTCTTGTTTTTCGTAAAGCAGATCCATAATGGTTGGTTTCGTAGAACGATGATTGACATGACCACATGTTTCATTCTAGAATAAAGAAGATATTAGTCTATTGGTGTAATTCGGACCAACTTTCAAAAAAATCGATGTATTTTTGTTATTTCTCAACTATAAATAGTTTGATAAAATAAGGTTATTTATAAAACAAAAGACGATTTATTTACTTCATCAAAATCTTCTTCATCAGTTATCCAAGAACTTTCATGATTATCATTTGTAATCGATGGGCAATCCATTGAAAAAGACTAAGTGATATTATTAATTATTTTTTGCACGTGTTCTTCTCTGATGAGATGCACACATATATATATATATACACGAACAATCATGTAAATTAATACATCGTGGTCGGGGTCACCATTCTTCGAATTGCCCGACAAAAATTAGACAAAAAAAATTTTTATTCAAGCGATGATTGGCTTGAGTGAATAAAAATTAGTGATGCACCGGTATGCGAAAGAGACGAAATAATTTCTCTTTTGTTATATTGATAGTCGTCAGAGATAATACAGAATAGAATAACTCGAGCACACGTATATATTCGTCCAAAGTAGTGGCAAAAAGAAAGATAGATGAATTATCAACGACATGACGAACGAATGTATTTTCTTTAATTAATTTCTCATCTCTGCCAGCAGACAGTATCTATAAGACAAGTTCTTCGGTGAACTTGTATTCAATCTCATACGTACTAAAATAGTACCAACATACGAGGTTGGTAAAAGTGTTTGATGTAAGCCTGCAAAACATTTTAGAGACTATGTACTGACAGCTTGAAAAATACGAAGAATTATGCGAAGTTTCTTGATCGATTCATAGGTAACAAATTGCGAGTAAATAGAAAACATTCGCTACTGATGTTATATCGTTTTCTTACGAAATAATGACACACTACCGTTCAATCGCTCGACAGCATACTGCATATTTCTCCTTATGACATAATAGGCGGCGTATGTCAAAGTAATTTTTTCAAGATTTTAGGGTTAAATCGAAACCGAAGCTATGAACTTTATATTACATATGGTTAGAAAGTGAAAAGTCTCAGCTGTGAAATGAAAAAGTTGTCAAAGATTATCTATCCAATCAAAATTTTGGGACACATAAATGATCTTTTTGATCAGGTGACGCTAGAAATCACTGATTATATTTTTATATACTTGAAAATAATTGAGATTTAATTAATAGTAATGGTCACGATTTACTTAAACGATATTCTCATTTATCTATTGAAATTGTTAATTTTTTTTCGTTATTTTGTTTTAGATTTAAAAAGACAACAATAAAAAAATGTTGGGGTAATAATGATATGGATAGTAATGATGATGTCGATCATGATTATGAAAATACAAGTGAAGCAGCCAATGCTGCTGTTGAAGATCAATATTATAATTGAAAAGGTTTAAAAGAAGATGATCTAACTAGTTGCTGTTACTGATAATTTTGAAAAAGGTCTTGTATTAGAACAAAAAAGTGGTGAAAAAGATGATTGCGCTTTTAAAGTACTAAAACATATGATGAAAATTTATTTTAAAATTGAAAATTATGATGAAATTTTGGCACATTATAAACAATTGGAAGTTTTCATTGCGAAATTATTTATTCAAATTACAAGAATAATTCATCTCATTAGGATTATTATGACCTTGGAGAAAGGTTATGAGTAATTTTTTAAGATCTATTTATGATGATAATATAGAGTAACAGCTACACATACCAAGTTTCTTCTTATTAATCTTACCGTATTTGATGCTCTTGATGGACGGTCATGAATGCGAGTAGATTCACTAATTGGTATAGGTGGATCGTTTGTATTCTCATCTAAGATGAAAATAAGTGAGAAATAATTTGTTGATTACACTCGAATTACACCAATATCTAACTTACCTTCGGTATTTCCTGCACGATGGTGAGATCTTTTTTTGGACAATGATTTTTTTGCAGGAGGCCGTCGTAAAAACGACATACTTTATATTTAAAAAATCAAAATGTAGGAACAATAGAATTCTGAAATAAAAATATTCTTTGTTTTAGAAAAATAGTGATGCATGAAAAGTTGTCGATCTATTTTTATTTCTTACATAAAGTAAACCAGTGTATAGTTTATTTAAAAGATAGTTTTGATTATCACCAACACAAGAAAAAAAACGAAACATTTAACGAATAATAGAATAAGAAATGTTATATTTAAAAATGTTGATGTTTCATTTTAATTGTTTTTCAATGATTAAAAAAACGAAATAATTCATTCCATCGGTTGATCAACGGATGATTGTTTATCTCCATTAGAATATTTTTTAATTTGATCGTATTCATATTGAATAACTTCATTAAATATTAATTCTTTTCATTGTTCAACTGTATATTCTCTTTCATCAACTAAATGATTATATTGTCCTATAGCAGTCTAACATCAAACAAACACTTTTTTATTTAAAAATAAAAACAAAATAATTCAACTTACAGCATTTACTTGTGAATTTTCATACCAAACATTAATATATGGATGATTAAGAGCTTCATCAACAGACATATGTTTTTCTCGATCAATAATTAACATTCGACCAAGAAGATCACGAACTAATGATGCCATTCATACATATATACTTATGAAAGTTTTAGTGAAAAAGAAAGAGAAAAACCTGTTAATTAATTTGTTCTAAATTAGATATAAATAAATGATCTGGAAATAATTTCTCAAGTGGATATCCAGAATATATTGGTCGATTTTCAACATAATTTCTAACAGTTGGTTACAAACGAGATAAAAACTCTCTTGATGATGTTTCCAATTGTTCAATTATTTTATTCCATAGATCAGTAAATCTAATATTTCAATCAAACATTTTTTATTTCTTATTTGAAAAAAAAATTCTCGTAGCTCCGTGGTCTCATAATCCAGTTCTTATTTTTTAGTTATGTATTTAAAAACATCTGATTTTTTACTATCGATTTTTGCATACATTCGATCAAATGTATTACTTGAAAAAAAGGAAATTTATTCTTATCAAGACATAAATTGATCGCGTACAAAAACATGGCAACAAGTAAATTAACTAATAAGATATTACTAATAGCCATATAAAAAGCTAGTAACGCAAAAGCTACCCATCCAGTTACTTCAAAATTATCTAAAACAAAGATTTTTTTTTTTACTAAAAGTAATTTTAAAACTTTTCTTACTATCTTTTACATCATCAAGATCATTCATTTGACCAAATACATGCCTATATAAATATATATATATATGTTAGCATCCAATCTCAGTCGAATTAGTTTGTAGATTGATGTCGGATTCGGATTCGGATTCTTCTTGATGAACCAAAAGGGAGCAATGGTATTTCAGGTAATACAATCATCAATAAACGAATTGATTAAAGATTTCAGCAATTATGAACAGTCTTTCATTGAAGCAGTTCTTATGTAAAAAAAAACAAACCCTTCGTTACTTCATGAACTCTGATCTTATTGATTAACTGATAATTGTGTTGATTGAAACGCCATTGCTTCCTCTCAGTCCATCGATCTACAGACTAATTCGAGTTTTAACTTAAGTTTCTCCATTAATCTGACAGTGGACGCGTTCAATCTCAGATTCAAAATTGGACTTAATCTCAGTTTGGACGCTAACATCTATATAGAATTCAAATGTTTGCATCAAAAAAATATTTACCAATAAGCAGCATGAAAAATTTTTCGAAAAATCGCAACACCAAATGGGATTTCTCCACTTTGTAACAGCCAAAATGAAGCTGCACCATATGCCGATGTAAAGACAAAGAATATCGAAAAGAATGTCATCATATCATTAAGCTAAATAAAACAAACAATACGAAATACTAAGCAAAAAATTACAAATTCATATAATCAAAATTGATGCTTTTATGAAATTTTATATAAAGTACAAATTATTCATACCATAGCTTGAATCATTAAAAGTATTGACCCAATCGTACGATCGATCATTAATAATATTAATAGACGTATAAACCATAAAACGTAGTCAATAGCAAGAAATACTCTATTAGAAGAAAAAAAAAATTCTTGTTATTCTTCGAAATAAAATAAAACAAACCTTGCTGCATTTAATGTTCCTTTGGTATTCCAAATTTCCAAAGTAATAGAAACAATATACATAATAATACAAAGACTATCAAGTTTATTTCAAGATTCATCAAGATAAAACATAAATGCTTGTCCTACATGATTATCTTATGTTTTAAATAATTTTACCTTTAAACAAAGAAAAAAACCATTAGATCAATTTTTTTTGTTTCTTTTCAACTTTATTTACTTATCGAAATTCTTCAAGTGCAAACATAAATACTAAAATATTAATAATTATTTGTAAAAATGACCATGATGGTTTAGAAGATGCTGTCATTGCACATAAATGAAGTATTTTGTGAACATGTATCATTTAATGTTAAAAATATTATTTCTTCCTTTACACCAAATAAACATGATTTACCAAAAAGTACAAAATATGATTAAAGACTTAAGAAAATCATATAGAATAAAAGATGAGCTTGATATTTAACTCGTGATCGAGCTAATTTGTTTTTTATTGTTAAAATATATTTTAATTGATTTTCTTTATCTTTTGCTCTAGATAAATAAATAGAAATTTATCGTTTTGAAATATAAATAAATGCGAAAACATCGGATTTAAATCCGAGTGTTATGTGTACTTCAAAAAGTGAACAGGTATATTCACTTTGTTTTTTATCATCTGAGACAATATCTAGACTATTTGCTTTCTCAACTGTAGTTTTTATGCATTTTGAGCCTTTTTCGGGGGATTTTTTGTTAGAAAGCTACAATTTGGTTCAAAACTAATATCAGATTCGGAATCAGCGTTAAAAACTGAGTCGATATATATATATTGTGAATAATTCGGAGAAAAAACTTTTTTTTTTGAAAAANTTTTATCATAGCTTGGATTGCTGTACTTCAGACAAGACTGGAGTCCATTGGAGTCCATTGGAGTCCAATGGAGTTCAATGGAGTCCAATGGAGTCCAATGGAGTCCTGGAGTCCTGGAGTACGCTATTTCCCCCTTGATGGTAGGGGTCTAGCAGCGCGACAGGTCTTCATAAAGGGGTTTGCAGTCCATATAATGACCAAATATTCATTTTGAAAGTTGTGTCAGTTGAGAAAGCACTTGTGGCAGATGGAAATCGATGAGATTTATCGGCTGATACCAAATAAGGGATGGTGGAAATAAAGGAACAGGTAGCAAGGGGTCAATACCTATAAGAACCAGGACTCGGAGGCCTGAATCCGAGGAAATATTCGCTTCCAGAGCTGTGCCAGTCGTGGAGTCGAATGTGCGAGAGAGAACGTGATGATATATATCGATTGGCATGAAGTGAAGAATGATCGAAGTGAAGAATTAGGAGCAAGATAGTGGTACGTTGTGAAAGGATGCCGGCGACCCTTGATCCGAGGAAATAATCGCGAAATGGTTTGTGTCACTCCTGAAATGACTTGTGCCAGATTCAAAGTTATGAGGTGTATTGATTGATACGAAATAATCAATGGTCATGGGCGACCATCAAGTAGTAATGCGGCGATACTAGGGAAATGAAGCCTTGGAATCCTTGATCACACTAAATATTCTCTCCTATGGTTTTTGCCGATCGTGAAATGAACGGTTCTAGTTATAGTCCGATGAGATCTGTGGATGATTTATGTACAATGGATGTTCACCTCGTAACTTCTTGTTGTATGTTATTTGCGATTGGCGTAGTTGAGTGGCCACTTGAAATAGTAACCGACGTTGCATTCGGGTTTTTGAAACAATGAGTTTCGTTGGCTGTGTATGCATGTTTGAAAGTTTTGTTTTCGTGACGAGTCTATCATCTTCAATTTCTTTTTTCATCTGTACGCGATGCTTCTTTCGGATCGGCGCAGCCTGCTAGCGGTGCCGTTATGTTTGTCGTTGGTAAAATTTTACTCTGACTGTTTTCTGAGATGAATGATTGCCGGTTCTGGTCTTCACGAAGTATTTCTCAGATGCGGTGTTTATGTAGACACGTGTCATCGCATGGAAGATTGATCATCATTAAGGTTCCGGGTGGATGTTTAGGGTTGCATTGATTTTAATATGAGCGGAACGGATCGAAGGTTCGATTTTGTAATGTAGCGCGAAGAATGAGTTTAGTCGTCATATCGACTTCTAGGTTATCTGATGAGCGATATAGGAATCCTGTCAATTTCGGTTTGATGAAAGAGGTGTTATTGTATTTTGTCAAATCGATCCTTGTAGGGCTCACTTCTGGTTAACACCCGATATAGTCAAAATTGCGAAAAAATCTGTGATTTTATCACGATTTATTTGACCTATAAATCGGAGCTTGGCATCACGAATTGTTGTCTGAATGCACGATTCTTCTAGCTTTTCATAAAGAATCGGGATTTTAAGTAATAACAGAATGACATTGAACATGTCACTAGAGTAGAAGAATCCAGGATCTTTTCGTTGATTCTATTAAATGAGTGGCTTTTTGGTTTATAATAAAAGCTGCTTCAAAGTTTTCATAGCAATATAGTAAGTAAATGCAACTCTTACATATTGTCCGTGGTATCACGAAAGTAATTGTAGCTGCTATTAAGTAGAAAGTATCCATCTACGCCGTTTCATGGGTAATATCCAGTGGTCATTTAACAGAATAATAAGAACAATACTTCCGAGTGCTTTGCAAGATAACAACTGAGGGTGTGGGTGTGGGTGACTGTGGCTGTGGCTGTGGGTGATGGGTGTGGGTGGGTGTGATTGCGGATGTGCGATGTTGGTCTGGGTGTGAGGAGTACATACACATGCACACCCACAACCACATCCAAACCCGCACCCACACCAACCTGAGCGAATATTTTCTCGAACTAAGGATCCGCAGGCCTGATCCTTATAGGTACTCACCCACTGGTACCTGTTTTTTTACTTCGATCATCGCTTATTTGGTATTAATCGATAGATCTCATCGATTTCCACCTGGCACGAGTGTTTTCTCAACTGCCACAACTTTCAAAATCAATATTTGATCATTATATGGACCCCAAACCCGTCTATAACCAGCTATCGCCCTGACAGACCCCTACCATGGTGATGAACTTGGGTTAACTTAGTACCAATCGATAGATTTCGACGATTTCTATCTGGCACAAATGATTTCACGAGTGGCACAACCATCAGAGCGAATATTTCCTCGGATTAATGGTCCCGAGACCTGGTTCTTATAGGTACTCACCCACTAGTACCTGTTCCTTGACTTAGATAATCGCTTATTTGGTATCAATCGATAGATCTCATCGCGTTCTATCTAGCGCAAATGGTTTCACGAGTGGTACAAGCATCTGAGCGAATATTTTCTCGGACTAAGAGTCCGAAGGCCTGGTTCTTATAGCTACTGACCCAATGATACCTGTTACTTTACTTGGATCTTCGCTTACTTGGTATCAGTCGATAGATCTCATCGAGTTCTGCCTGGCACAAGTATTTTCTCAACTGGCACAACTTTCAAAATGAAGATTTGGTCATTATATTGATCGCAAACCCCACTATAACCAACTGTCGCCCTGACAGACCACTACCATGGTGATGAACTTGGGTCAATTTAGTACCAATCGAGAGATCTCTTCGGGTTTTATCTGGCACAAGTGTTTTCGCCACTGGCACAGCTTTCGAAATGAATATTTAGTCATTATATGGACTCAAAACCCCTCTATAACCACCTGTCGCCCTGCTAGACCCCTACCATGATGATGAACATGAGTGAATTTAGTACCAATCGAGAGATCTCTTCGGGTTCTATCTGGCACAAGGGTTTTTGCCACTGGCACAGCTTTTGAAATGAATATTTAGTCATTATATGGACTCAAAACCCCTCTATAGCCAGCTGTCGCCTGACAGACTCTAACCGTGGTTATGAATATGGGTCAATTTAGTACCAATCGATAGATCTCTTCGGGTTCTATCTGGCACAAGTGTTTTCTGAACTAGCACACGTCTTGAAACTAATATTAGGCGAAAATACTGATTTTTGCACTAAAATCAGTGTTTTCAAAGCAGTATTTTGAATTTTTCAGCAGTTCCTGACGATGGAAATTTTTTTAAAGCCAGGCATTCCACAGCATATTCGATGCTCTGTCTGGCACAACAGCGATCTTTTTGCAACAAGTCTGCTGGCGAATATTTCCCCAAAAAGCTCGAATCTGCTGCTAACGTTACTTACGTTAAAATCGGACATTTTTGACTGTGTACAACGCATTTAAACTAGGGAAGAATAGATATAACTCACATACCTTAATATTACAAACAACAATAAAATAGAATATTTACTAATAAATAAGAGATACCACACTGTAAAAAAAAGGTACTTTCTGGAACCTCAAAAAAAGGTTCGGTAGATGACAAAAAGTTTGCAAATGTGTTGAAAGTTTAAAAAAACGAATAAAAAAAAACCCGGAACCTTTAACGCAGGGGTGGTAAATTAGCATTAGTATTACAAAAATGCTAATGCTTTGAGCATTAGTATTAAAATTAACCCTAATGCTTTAGCATTATTAGCATTAGTATTAAGTAATGCATGGGTGTTAGCATTAAATTAGCATTATTTTTAACACGAATACTTGGATTCAAAATATAGTAGAAAATTGTTCTGTTTTCGGGAATATGAGTCGTCGATGCCTCATCTGTGAGTCATAGTTCCCAAAAACATGAAAATTTTATTCTGTTTTGGGAAAGTATGACTCACTGATGAGTCATCGATGAGTCATATTCCCGAAAACAGAACNAGAAATCAAGTATTTTATAGAAAAGGTTTGCCAGGATAATTTTGATGTCCACACATTCTAGGATGACTCATCTGTCTCATTCACTTTTTGAAGTACACATAACTCTCGGATTTAAATCCGAGGTTTTCGCATTTATTTCTCATTATTCTGCACGCTGTATTAATTATACTTACAGAATTTTTCTGTACTTTCTACTTTAATTGTTAATAACTATATCTGATGAGGTAGACTATTTGCAATATTCATCCCTAAAAGATTGACTTGCATCAATGACTTTTGTTGGGGTCACGATTAGTACCTGCAATTTTCATCATAGAACAGATGCTATGGAGATCTATCGATTTATTAATGGCTCAAAAGTTAGACATATGGTTGAAATAGAAACTATTAACTATTGATAACGTGATATAATTTGTACTTCATGATAATAGATATATTGAATATTATAGTGCGTCTTAGCTTATTAGAATGAATGATTTGGCACACTCATTCATGCTTCATTTGAAGCGTTCATCAAATTGCAATAGACAAGTTCATGCAATAGATCAATGAGATACTTTTGAAACATTATTACATCGATTATTTATTGGTACTTAAGCAAAATACGTAAAATGGGTGAAGTATACCGCAACTATGAACAATTGAGCCTATTTAGACTAGAAAAATATTCTTCTTCTATTTATATTAGATATACTTATATAGTTATCTAGTTAAAACAAACATATTAGTAATCTATTATTCCATAAACAATTCCAACAAGTTTGCGAAGGTGTGATTAATACAAATGAGTTTCCTTAAAATATGATAACATTGATACTTGAATGCAAAACAATATTATTAAGGAAAATATTGAATAAATTCCACTATACTAACTTAAAATGTCTCATTAAAACAACTCAAATCTTTATTTGTTATTATTTATCATAATATTTGTTTGAATAACTTTCGATTAGCTAATGTTATCGAGCTGGAGATTTCGGCATAGTTGATGAATCTATCTGTATAATATTCGTTTGGATCAAAGACGTTTTCCATGACTGTTTTCACATCGATATACTTTTCGTTCTCTATTTTCATGAATTTTCATCATAACTTAACCTTAAACTATACTCGATTGTAATCTGAGTCACTCTGTATACATAGTAAAACTTCTGTATTCCCATTGTACCTTGTCGACTATCTGCTTCGACGAGATCATTTTGCAATGTGACAATTTTACTGCACATACAAGGCAACTCATGCTACAATTTGGTATAGTTTAAAGTTAAGTTATCATGAAAATTTATGAAAGTAGAGAACGAAAAATATACAGGTATGCAAACAGTCATGAAAAATGTCTTTGACTCCAACGAATGTTATAGAGATAGATGCCTCATAACTCGATCTTTATATTGCTGAAACTTCGAACTCGATAACATTAGACTATTCAAGGTTATTTAAAAAATGTTTGCATCCATGTAACTCTGACATGTATGGTAATTATAAGACTTTTGCTGTTGTCTTTCTAAAAACGTACACAAATTTATACGATTGACAATAATAACTGTTGATTATAACGATCAGAAGATCTGAGATTCTTCAACATATGTTCCAATCAATCATTTGTTCTCTTTAGTGTCATGTTGACGTTTACACTGTGTTGCTAAATAGCTTTACTGCAAAGATAATAGCTTTATTAAGTAGAAAGTGTACTGGCTCATTAACTTATTAATGCAATGTTAAAATAGTTAAAAATGATCATATATTAATGAGCTATTTGGTAATTTATTTTCTGTTCTTTTTCAGAAAAACACTTCTTTTTATTACGTGGTCAGAATAAATATTATATATATAGATGCATAATTAACAATAGAAGTAACATAAGCAATGCATACGAAGGAGTTCATTTGGGCTTGTGATATGAGGAAAATGACAAATATATTGACAAAAAAAAGCTACTTCATAAAGAGAAAATCCTTTATGTTCGACACAAAAATAGTAAAAATAAATGTAATGATCTTCCCTCATTAGTGGATTTATTGATTAAGAAAAAAAAATATTTGAATTAATTACAAACTATCATTCTTTTCAAACGAATAAAATGATGGCGCGAATAAATCATGAATCTTCTTTAATTGTAACTATTTGAACTTATTGATTTTATTTGATAACGCTAATTTATTATACGTGGCAAAACATTTCAACGAATTTGAAGTATTTCTTCTCTGACATATTATTAAGTAATGATATGAACTAGTTATTTATTGATTGTTCAAGATTAGGAATGATTCAAATGATGGAAAGTGGCGATAAATATTCTATGTCTAAGATACATGATACTCGAATAAGCGAATCTCTTACACAGATGGTAAAATCATTTTTAAGAAAAGACTTATTTGATCTATCGAAATAATTCGTTTTTTTTTTCAAATTCTTGATAAATGTTTTTCATATCTAAATCTATGTTTTCTGTTATTGATTTTAGAATTCTCATGAAGATAATCCATCACATAATATATTACTTACAAAATTAAATATTCCATTAAATTGTCTAGATAATTATCAAATTCGACAACATTATCTCGAAGAATATTCAGCTAAATATTCGAAAGCAAAGCATTTATTAAATAATGCTCGGAAAAAACAACGAAGTATATATTTTTTAATCTTGTATAATGCATAAAATATTTCTTTTATGTAATATATAATTTTTTTTTTTCAGAAATTATTATGACGTATTATGAAGCAAAAGAAAAAGAAAATAATATTGATGAATTACAAGCAATTAAAGAATCATTGCTTGAAGAAAATGAAAAAATAAAAAAATTCAAAGAAGCTTTAAAAGACAAACTTATTATTTATCAACAACGTATACAATTTCTTAAAGTATAATCAAAAGTTTTGTGCATTAATTTGATCTTCTTAACATGAAAATTTCTTTTAATATTTAGGACTCTAAATTTTCGTCAACATTTGAAATTCAGCAATTACAAAACAATATAAATGAAACAATTGAAAATTGTACTGAAAAGTAAGACATCTATCTCACTTTCTTCTGTATGAATAAATAAGCAGTATCATAAAGTTTAAAAGTTAGTTAGAAAACTTCGATTATGATTTGAATAATACAATAAAAAATTAACTAATATAATCATCTAAGAATAAAATGAATAAATACAAGTCGTAAAATAACATTCATTCTAGTTCTCCTGAATTATCTACAACCAAAGATAGTCTTCATCTATTACATGGTAAAAACAGAAACATATTTTTTGTAATTTTAAAAATTTATTTTTAGATTTTGAACAAATAAACTATTCAGTGTAAGAAAAAAAAAATTCTTTTTTCTTATTTTATTTGTTCTATTTCTTCAGTAATCTTCTTGATGATTTATGTCTAACTACTAATACTGATCAATATTATACTAAAATAAAATCACATGAAGATAATGTTTTTCTAATAAATAATGATGATGACGATAAATTTAATCATCATTTTGATAATAATGAAAGTAATATTATCGCACATCTAACAGATAATCATAATCTCAATGGCATCATTGTGAAACATGCGCGACAGTAAGAAACAATAAATCTTTCTTTTAAAGAATAAAAATAACTAATTTCAGATCACATACTAAATTGATGCCCGATGTAAGTAAATTTTCATTAGAAATATTTAACAGTTCTTTTAGTATTTATGCGTCATAAGTATTATCTAAAAGTATTTTACTAAATTTTATCTTTTATATTGTATAACATAATCTGTTGATTCTCAATGATTAATCTGATACGACGGATGATTAAATATACTCTTGTGTAGCATGATTTTAGTACGATTATCCTATTTTAAGTATATTTATTGGTGATAGATTAAGAAGTAAATGTCATGTAAACGAAGTATAAGGTTATTCAATAAGAATAATCAATAATGATGGATATCCTTGATATACTTTTAGTTTTCATATTTAAACATTCTTTGACTTTGAATATTAGTTATTATAAATGAAAAACAAAGTATTTATTTGAATCAATAGTTAGATTTAGATGAAGTTGATGCTCTTTTCTTCATATATATTAATCCTAATTATTAATAATCTCTAAATAAAATACAGAAAAAAGTGTCATTGATTATTCAATAATTAATATAATATAATCAGATGCAAATTAATATTTAAAAATATGTGTCTCTTGAAAGATTACGTACTAACATAAGTGATTGACATTATTTAACGTCAAAAGAATGTTTGACTAATTGAACAACTACTTTTTATATCAACCACTAGACAGACATTTATGTAATAATGAACGGTTATTTAATGGCTGACGTAAAGCAGTATTAAGTATAAATAAAACTCATAAATTGATTAATGCAAGATCTTTATCAGTTCATTTGTATGTTACATTAAAAATTAGATTTTGTACATAATGATTATTAGCATATGTTTTTTACCGTTGATTAGATGTGTAATTGTATGTTGATGATGTGTTCAGCAAGCATTAAGAAAATAAACTAAGAATTTATGTACTAAGAATTTATGTTCTGATTTTTTGAAGATAAAGAAAACTAAATATATATTAATTAAATAATTATTTTTAGATTGATGAGAATCTTGTTAGTTCAATATCAAAGAAAAGAACAAAACATTATTTTCAATGGTTAAAAAACAATTGTCAATTTATTTTTATGTTCACATCAAATGATCAATTCGATCGTTTTAAAATTATGAGGTTAGTACTTGAACACAAAAAAAACATTTATAATTTATTATTTTTCTAACAAATAAATGTAATCAAAATAGATAATTATGTCTGTCAAGAAAACACAATTATGTAAATAAATATTATATATATATATTTATAATAATTGTGTCATTGAGCCATTGCCTGAGGATATTGGTGATGTGTTTATTTCGATTAATTCTATTAAATAAACAATAGCATTTATATTTGACTATTATTTAATTTTTCTGTTTTAGTATGATTCTAACGTTTAGTCTTGTTATATTTATTGTTATATTTCTTAATAATTTACTTGAATATTTTCTGATATATCTAACAAAACCATCCATATCGATTACAACATTATCTCCTACAAGTTCCATACCGATATCATCATTTACATATTTATTAAACAATATTTATAAATGGACAATTTCATGGTTACTACCATTTTTTCGTTTATTCGAATTTTCTGTTTAGTAAAAAAATATCTAATTGCTGAAACTTTTATTTGTCTTGACTGTTTGTTCCTAATTACATGTCAATCATACCAAAAATCTGTATATAAAAGATACTATATAGAATATTAAGATACATAACCACAGAACTGATGATGTCTCAAGTTTGTTTTCGTACTTGTCATCTTGATGATGAGTTTATCTTATAATTGATATTGTTAGCCCTCATTCTGTTTTGTGTATGTATACAGATCAAAAGAAGATATACAATAGTTAATATTTTTGCTTCTCTTTCTTTCTCATCTTCCGAAGCTAGACGTCTGATAGGTTTTAACGACACAATATTATTAAGTATATGTCATAGCAAACTTAGACCATACTATTTTCTGAAGTTATTGCTTTCTTATTAATTGATTCGAAATTACTTTAGACCAACGAAATATCAAATAATTTTTAATTAATTGATGATATTAATATTCATAGTTCATTTTGTTTTATTTTTAAAATATAAATATCATTATTTTTTAAATAAAGATTACGTTTTATGATTGCCTAATATATTCTAATAACACTAAATTTAGTCGCTAATGAAATAGATTTCTATAATACTACATTCTACTTTTAATTATATATAATCATAAAATTAGAATAAATTGCACGATTTATTGTATTTCAGGACTTTTTACGGTTTTCTTGGCATCTTGGGGATTCATTTTGACCTACAATAATAAGATTAATGCTGAATTTAAGGCAGGCACCTAGCTGAGAATTAAAATGAGGACAATGCCAAGATTAAAAAATTGGTTTAGTATGTAGAATACATCCTCCAGACCATGATTTTCTTGTGATGTGTAGTGAAACTATCCTATGTACTATGGAAGGTCGATCTGACTGTTTGAATCCATGCCATAAATCTAAAAAGCAAAAGAATCCTTAAAAGATCTTACGTATTGCTTTCTGAGATCACAAGTTGTTCCTACTTCTTCATATACAACTTTTCGTTTGATGCTCGTTTGATATGTTCTTCATTGAAAAAATTATCTTTACAAGTATACAATCTTTATTTAACTGAATGTAGTTCTGAGTATACTTATCATTTAACTTGCTCCTTAGTGAAATATTTTTCTTTGTAATTTATAGTTTTATATTCAAATGTAGTATTGTAGAGATCTATTTCATTAGCGACAAACTTTAGTGTAAACAGAATAGATCGACAATCATGTAAAGTAGTAATAAAAACGTAATCTTTGTTTTTTTTTTCTGAATAAATTCTCTAATATTGACTTATAAAAACTGATATGTGTGTTTTATCAAAAATGAAAAATTATTAGTATCAGCAATTAATTGATAATCATTTGGCATTTAGTTGACCTGAAGTTATTTTGAAACAATTATAGAGTAAAGTTATCATTTCGTCAACCGATGTAACTTCGATATGACATATATATTTATATGCCTATGGCCAGAATAAACGATTCATCAAGGTTTTCGATTACTTCTCTTCATTATTATCGTTGGGTTTCATAGTTATGTCACATATACATGTTTGATTACTTAACTTATTGTGAACGTTGTAGCCCTATAGATTGAGAACTTGCCGAGAAAACTACAAATATGCTTTATATACTCATGTACCAACGAAACTAAAATTTCTTGTTTTGCATATCTCTCTATTTCTTTATATTTCATTTGAGACCTCTATTAGTAGTCAGTTGCCTTTTGAGCATGACTGACAAAGAAAATATCGTGAGATTTTTCTCTTTATAAGTCATGCTCAAAATACAAGTAACTACTAGTTGAGATCTCGTATAGAATACAAAGTTACAGAGAGATATGTAGAACAATAAATTTTTGTTTCACTTACAGATAACTTCATAAGACAAGTTTGTAATTTTCTCGACAAGTTTTCATTCAATAAGAGCTGTAACTTTTAGAATAAGTTCAATAATCAAATATGTGTATGTGATATAAATATGAAACCTAACGACAATGACGGAGAGAGATAATCAACAAAATTATGCGTGTCGTTTATTTTGACTAGGAGGATATATATATACATCTGCTATTTCTGTGACGTTAACGTACGTAAGAAAAGCGATGTAGTAAATGATAGTTGTCCCTGGGGCTCGTTTGTCAATCATCTTCATGTTGACTTGAATGCGTTGTAAATATCTGCTTATGATACTATGTATATTCTGCTTTTTTTCTCTTGTCTATAACTATTTCTGTTTCGATAGTCCATCCATCTTCATCACTAGTCTACATGATATACTCAACAATGAAAAGTATCAGCTGCTATTATTTATTATAAGTATCTTCCAATAGATTTTTTGTTTAAAACAATGAAAAGTAGAAATATTTTAATATTTTAAAAGGTTTCAATAAGAATGATGTTCATTCGTTCATGAACTGTATCTAAATAAAATCTTTTGCTGATTTTTTTGCTCTCTTGTTCATTTTTTAAGTTTAAGAATCTGGTAGCTTTTTTTGCCACATTGTAATCTATTAAATAAATTATTGTTGGAAAAAAAATTGATGAAGTCGACTAAGAGAGTGAATGATTGAACAGCATTAATATGAGGGTTGATATATATTTATTTTTCACGTAAGAAAATCAAGTAGTTGCAGTAGGCTTTTTTTCTTCTCTTAAGAACGTGCATGCATGATGAAGTACGTGATACCTTAATCGTTGAATGGTATTTAATATACGTACGTACTTTAAGGCCTTTTTCTTCTTTTCTATATATACTTAAAATCATTTGAATAAAATGCTGAGAAAATCAATTTAACTAAATGTATGACGTTGATTACTTTACATTTTAATAAAATAAAAAGTTTGTTCTTCTTTTATTGAATTGTTTTGAACAAGAAAGTAAGGTGCACTACCTGTTTGTTTGATGCTTTGTGTTTTCTTTCGTCTTCTTGGTTTGCTTCTTCTTTTTTCCGCATAAGTTCTCTTTTCTTTGCTCTTGCTCTTTTTTCAGCATCTTTCTTTCTATATTTTTTTTTCTCTTTCTTTTCTATCAACTCTTTTTTTTTTCAGTCGTTTTCTTTTCAATAGTAGTTCGGCACTCGGCCGCCATATATATGTCTTTCTGTTGCTTCCGCAGTTTCTCTAAATCTTACTGCACGTCGAGCTCATTGATTTTTCTCGAAAAGTCTTCAACCATTTTTCTTCTTACAAACGCACGTAAATACGACATTATATAATTATAAAAAAAAATTTGACAAATTTCCGTCGTTCAAGAAGAAAACTCAAATGTATTTGTCAGTAAATATTTAAGTTTATGAAACTGAAAATATAGTCGACAGATGAATGTCTATAAAGGTAATGTATTTTTAGTTTAGAAATATATTTATCGATTTATCTTCGTCTGCGCAAAGAATGATAATAAGACTAATAAAAAAATAAAAAAAGCAGCAGCTAAATCACTCGTACATTTACTCTTTCTCGCGATAATAGTTAAAGCCTCGTTTTGCATCACTTTTTGTCTTTTTTTTGTCGGTGTACGTGTTTTTTAATCTAATCACACGTAGACAAAACGCAATGTGCACTTAGGTTAGTCTTCCCCATTTATGATAGTAAACGGAATAAAGAACAATACTATAGCATCGTTCGATGGTGCAATCATAATGCAAGAGAAAGCAGTCAGTTTGCATTTGGATAAGATGCAGCAGCAACAACATCAAGGAAGAACAGAAAGAAAACATTTTTCTCTTCTAAGATCGTCAAGCACTCTTTGTTCTGTCCGCGGAACGTATGGGTCTCCATGTATTTCTCCTCCTTCTCTTCTCGATCGTCTATGTGCTGCCTTTATGTGGATGGCAATGGCCCACTCGTACGCGCTTAAAGGCCAATGCCTTATGCGTGCGTGTCTGTGCGCGCTTCTCTCTTGTTGAATAACTTGCTATGTTTTCTCTTCCTTCGTTCGATGTTTCTTTCTTCCTTTCTCTCTTTGGCCCTTTTTTTCTTCCTTGCTTCTTTCTTTTTTTACTATTTGCGTTGTAACTACCATATACGAGTATGTGTGTGTGGTTGCAGCAGCAGCAGCAGCAGCAGCAGTTCGATTTTGTTACTGGGCATCTATTCAAAGGGGTTGATGAGAAAAAGTATAGTACACGTACGCACACGTAAGAACAACCGAGAGAAAGAGAAGAAACGAGAAAAAGAGACCATTCTATTCGACAACTGCTGTATTATTGCATCTATATTACATCAACCATTATGCTAGAGACGTGTCTCATGTGAGAAGAAGCAGAAGAAGAAGAGAAGAGAAAATATGGACAAGGTTTGAATCGCGCGTGGATTAATCGATCTAACAGAAGAAAATTTCCATGATCACTTTTTTTTCATATTGTTTGTTTTCCTCATCATGCCAAAAAGGTTATCATCATCAGCTAAACATGAACGTTGCAACCAATTGGATATATAAAGGTCAGGTCTGTTTTGTTGCGCCTTACTATTGACTCATTGATTGTTCAAAAGTCAATCACAAAACATACATATATATATATATATATATACATATATAAATATTCACACAGTGTGTACTCATCTCTATTACATTTGTCTCCATTATCGTAAACTTAAAGCAAAATAGGAGTGCAATTACATTCGTTCTTTCATAAGCATTTTTCTTTTTTTTTCATCCTATCAATCTATGCATATAACGTCAACCTTCATTCACCTGGTGGTGATGGTGGAGCGATAAGAAGCAACAAGATTGAGAGAGTGAGCGACGAGAAGCAAAGATAAAATTGCAGCTGACGCTCGCGCGCCCGCGACGGCCTTGTTTCATTCGGGTTTTTCATCACATCAGATTCGTTTTTCGTCGTTATTCTCCTCCCGCCTTCTCATTCTACACTGACATCGTTGTCGTGTCGACTATCGCTTTTTGATTTGGTCGACACACACAGTACTCCACCGCCCTTTTCCATTCGCTTCTCTTCTCTCCTATTTTTTGTATTATTACTCTGCTTTGCTCTATCGGTAACGGCACGACAAAGTTGCCGTTTTTATCTCGACTCTTAGCGAAGGTAAGCGATTTTTAGGGGGTAGATGCAATAGTACACGAGTAGGCGCACATATTGATGAAGGACATCGCCATCCATCAAAATGAATAGAAGCAAAGCAGCTGATGAGCAACAGTCCCTTGTTGTTCGCCACTTTAGTGTCAGTCGAAGCTAATCGAATCAGTATGGAAGATCAATCGAGTGACACGTAACAGCAATGTCAGCTTACGTAGAAGAAAAAAAAGAATTAATTTACGTTTGCCGCCACTCTGCTTACTAACTGTCATTTTGTGTCTACAACTAGTTCTGTTTATGACGGCGACATTATATATACGGTACAAATAGGAAAAACAAGGGTATGTATAAATGACAGAATAGTTCTATTTCAGAAATAAAATGAATAATTGTAACCAATGTATTGTTTCGAATCTGACTAGTTTTGCAATCTGCTTGATGCCAAAACGCAGATGCTGACTTTTCAGATACCTGGCATGCATTGGAAACGGCGACTAATTTATAAGATTTATTTTTACTTATCTTCTTTTAGAAAACAACTGGGTTGTCTTTTAACTCAATTATATTATGGTGTACAATTTGAATTTGTTTCTTTTGTTTTTTTTTGGTTGTTGTTGATTTTCTAAATAAAATATTGACTAATTCTATGCATCATAGACAAGAATATTGTGAATTATTTTATTAAAAAGCAAAATAAGAAATTTATTTGAAATAAGATATTTTAAAAGAATGCATTTTTGTGTTGTATAAATAATTTTGTTTTATATTGTATTCAATTGCTGCAATTCAAAAACCATGCAGCAGATAGACAGACGGACTACTATCATATCATTAACGTCACATGATAGATGTCGCCATTATTGTCACTGTAGAATTGTAATCTATAGATTTTTATTGATCCTTCAGAATAAGAAATATCAACAATGACCCAACAGAATAAATTGAAGTACAAAGATAAAGTTATTTAAAAATAGAAGGAAAAAATGCAAAGTAAAGAATGGCTGTAAATGGCTGTAAAAGAGACCAATGCTATTTTAAAGGCTTAGTCATTTGATTTTTTATTTCATTCGCCGTTTCATTCAAGCGTTAATATTACGTCTTTATAATTAAATCTCGATTTGCTTTCGAGTAGTCAAAACTGTAGATCTATAAAAGAATACCGATCTCATCAATAAAATTGATTCTTTATAGTAATGGTGTTTTTAATTTCAACACTTGAAGAATATTTTTCATTTCTCGATAAAATCGAGCCAAATATTTTATTCTATGTTTTAATTATATTTACATGGATTATTTCTATTTGGGAACATTATCTTTCATATCGACAAGTATTTTTATTGTTATTTTTTTTTTCTTTACGAATAATAATTTTTCATATTTACTCTAATTGAATAGTATAAAAATTATAAATGTCATCGAACTGTTCCAAGTGAACTAGCCGATGTTATGACAGATGAAGAACTTCAAAAAGCTCGTTCATATGCTATTGATAAGATGCGTTATAATGAAATTCATTCGATTTTTAATGAAGTTGAAACAACGGTAAAATCATTTGAAATTTGATTTATTTATTTGCTTTTTAATACAAATAGATATTATTATTAATTGGTATTTTTCCATGGTTATGGAAAATATCTGGTAATATATTAGCTAAATATAATTATTATAATAATGAAATATTACAATCACTTATATTTATTTGTATTATTACGATCTATTCAACGATTTCGAATATTCCATGGTCATATTATTATCATTTTATACTTGAAGAAAAACATGGATTTAATAAACAAGTAAATGAAAATAATATTTTATGTTAAAAGAAAACAATAATTGTTTTTCTTTTCTATTTATTTATTTTTTGTAGACAATTAAATTTTTTATTAAAGATAATATTAAAAAATTAATTGTAACACTTATATTAATATTACCAATTGTTGCACTTTTAATTAAAATTATTCAAATAGGTGGTGATTATTTTTTTGTTTATGCATGGTTATTTGTTACAATTATGTCGTTGGTAATGATTTTCTACTTTTGATTTGAAAACAAAATTTCATTTTGGTTTTTTTAATGTTTAATTTAGATTATCGCATTTATTTATCCAAATTATATTGCACCATTATTTGATCGCTATGATCCATTACGCGAAGGAGAATTACGTTCAAGCATTGAAGCATTAGCAGCTAAAATTAATTTTCCACTTGCTAAAATTTATGTTGTTGAAGGTTAGTCTTAGAATATTAATAATATAATGAAGTATCAAAAAGGCTTCGGTATCTGATCTTTGACTAATCGATCTTTTCTCGTATTGAATAAACATTTTTCGAGATTATCTCAATGACGATTACAAATTACCCAATTAATACAATCAGTCATAACATACAATCAAATCATATTATAAGGTTCTTTAAAAATGTAACCATCACATAGGATTTTCTATAATCTTATAGTGATTTCTTACACGATAGTAAGTTCTTTCAAGAATCTTATAATACGGCTTATGAGTGAACCTCTTGAGATGTCTTCCTTCCGATTTCAATGATTCTTTACCAATAGATACTACATAATGTTTTAATAAAAATCCTAAGGTGGTTTGAGTTCGTATTGAGATTTGAGTAAGCTATGGAATTTTAATCTGAAACTTTGTACATAAAGAGAACTCAACTAGACTTTCTTCCATAAAAAAATTCGAAAGTTTTGAACAAAGCTTCTTTGAGATAGAAAGCTGTCAAAAAATGCGTGGTTTATACACTGTCCATGAAAAAGGTTCTATGTATTGAAAGTTTCATATCTCGAGAAGACTTTCTTTAACACTTCTGAATATTTTTATAGAAGTTAGTCTAGTTGAGTTCTCGATACGCTCAAAGTGTCAGATTGAAATTCGAAAACAGACATTTCCAAAATTTGATAGCTTAGCCAAATCTCAATAAGAGCCTAAATCATTTTTTATAGTTTTTATTAGAACACTATGTAGTATCTTTAGATAAAAAAAAATCATTAAAATTGGAAGGGAGTATCTGAAGAGTTTTCCTCATTAGCGTAAGATTTCATCGTCTCATTATTTGATCTGAGTAGATATGAAATATTTTGAACTGTGACCATATCTGAATTCATGTGAAATATATTTAAAATCTGCTTGTTTTTTTTAGGTTCGGCTCGATCGGCTCATTCCAATGCATATTTCTATGGGTTTTTTAAAGCTAAACGAATTGTTCTTTATGATACTCTTATAAAAGGTTATAGTATTCATGAAAACAAGGATGATGTAAGTTAAATTTAATGTAAATAAATATAAAGTCGAATTAATTAATAATTTATTTATACTTCTAAGAATAAAGAAAAACAATCAAATGAAGTAAAAGAAAATCTATCAACAGAAGAAAATACGTTGACTAATCGTCAAACAACCGATGAAAAAGAAGCGACAAAAAAGAAAGCTGATAAAGGTTGTGAATCCGAAGAAGTTCTTGCTGTATTATGTCATGAATTTGGACATTGGTCACTTCATCATAATCTTATTAATTTATCTATTTCATTTGTAAGTTTATACGAGGAGAAAAACAAATATTTAGTATCTAAAATATTTTTTCTTCAAATTTTCTTAAAGATTAATTTATTCTTCGTATTTGCTATATTTGCTGCTCTTTTCAAACGTTCTGTACTTTATCAAGCATTTGGTTTTACTACAATACAACCAATTCTATTAGGCTTATTAATTATCTTTCAATATGTTTTATTGCCTTATTTTGAAGTAAATAAAAATATTTATTTTTGTTCTAAAATTTTTTTTATTTTTAAAAGATATATTCATTTGCATTAACGGTATTATCACGTCGTTTTGAATTTCAAGCTGACCATTATGCTGTTAAACATCATCATGGCGATTCATTAGGACGGGCATTAAAAAAACTTGAAATTGATAATATGACATATCCATTTTCGGATTTTCTTTATGCTAAATATCATTATTCACATCCAACATTACTTGAACGTCTTAAAGCAATCAAATCCATGAAAACATCATAAAATATTGCTTTATTATGATTATTATTATTATTGTAGTTGCATTACATCTTTAACTTCAGCATTGTAATACAGACTCAATAAAAAGAAAAAGAATAACTCTGCTCAAATATTTATTTCTATCTTATTCTTATCGAAGTGTGACACTTTAAGTTTACCTTTACAGTTATTAATATCGTACTGTAACTTTAACTACTTTATCAAAGTATTTTTAAAGTGAAATTGTTGATCCTATTCTCATCTAGACTGTTGTTGTTTGTTATTAACGTGTATTGTTAAATTTATCAGAAACATAAAACAATTTTATAGGATTGACAAGTGATTTGTAGCTGCTCAGAAATAATGTTGATCAAAGTCTTTAACGATTTTCAGCTCGAAACTCGCAAAACTAGGCATATTTTAAATAATAAGTTGTCATTTTTCGAGAAATCAATTAAGAAACATTTTCTATTGTAATGAGAAGTTTACACTTTTCATAAAGAAAAACATCTCATACGAATATCTTTTCTTGTATAAAATTGATTATAAAGTCAAATCAGTTATACAAATAATATGGACAGCTAGAGATAACGCTAATTTAAAAAGAGATTTAGTAATAATATTATTAAACTCTGGAATGTATCAAGACAATAAATTAAATGATATTTTTTATCTATAGTATTTAAGTCAGTATTTATTTAAGAAGCTATTGTATTATCATTTTTAATCTATTTATCACATTCTAGATCATGCATTCAGATAATGAACAAGAAGATGGGAATGTTAATAGAAAAGATATTAAAGTTAAAGTTGAAAGATTTTGTGAACAATCACAAATTTATTTGAATCGATTACCATTACTTAAACAACAATTGGAGGAAACAAATCGATCAAATCAATTTGATTTATATGTACAAAAATTGAGTAAGTCTTCAAATATGAAAGTATAATATACGACAAAAGTTATTGTGTTGTAAAACATTCTTTTTTTTTCTAAAACTGCATATTTAACGTGGTGTGAAGCATAGCATTTCTGTAGCCTGTTATGTACACATTTGGTCTTCATATTTTGCGTATTTCTTGCTGTAACTAAATCGATACTTTGTGTCGCAATGATCTAAAAAATGATGAGTCCCTAGAAATCCATTCGAAATTTGTTTCGAGATGATTCAAATGTTTTTACAATCTTCAATATGACTTTTCGTTCATCTTCAGTAAGCTCTGGAAAACGGCGATTTTAACGATTTAGGAGTGATAATGAAAACTTTCAACAGAATAGGATTTACTAAAAGTAAAACCATTTATTGGTTTTATGTTAAGTCAAAATTCATTATCAAAATTTGAGAACGTTTCGTATCGCATTTATGTAGTCTTTTGCAAGTTTGCTTTGATTCATAGTTTTCGACCATGATGATGATGTCGAAATTTCATGATCGAATCTATACCATTCGTTCTGTAGTTTTTAACATAATGCTCCACTGTCTTAGAGACAGCTCTTCAAAGCAAGACAAATTTTTGTCTACATTTTGGTTTTTCAAGTTTCGAGACAATAAAAACGATGACAATAACAAAATTTATTTAGTACTCGTTTTGGTCATATCTAAGACAGTTGATGACAGATAATCAATCAGAATGATAACCAAGTGATCAATCAGTAATCTTTATTAGAAATATATCGATACCTGTTAACAGACTTTTCTTAACAATCCATTTCGAAATGGTTACTTTTCATTTTTATTTTGACTTTCAATAGCTAAGTCATAGAAAGAAAATTTTCCCGATTGACAGTAACAACAAAGATATAATTCAATAATTCAAACGTAAATATCTTTTAAAAAAAATGTATTTTAGAATAAATAGCAACAACGATTCTTCCTTTTTTTATGAGATATCAATTGTTCTGATAAACACCATTCGTAGCTTTGCATTGCATTTCACAGTCGAATGAAATTTGAATACCATCTAGGTTTTCGATATCTGTAACTGAATCATTTATTTTTAGACGAAATTGGCAAAACTGTTCAAAATTTACTCCAAAATATTCGTACTATTGAACAATTACATTTACAATTAAACGATAAAGACCGTGTTAAACTCGATCGTCAAATTCAACTTCTACGAACTGAAATCGATCGTGAAATGTCTGAATTTCAAATACTTCGTGAGCAAGCTAAGGTTTCTTCAATGGATGAAAATTTATCATCAATCGATGACACTAATAATAATAATAATAATAACGATATACAGCAAGATATAATGGCAAATGAACTCCGTCAACGACATGTAACAACAACAGATCGTTTAAATGATTCATATAATTCACTTGAACAAGATTTAATACTTTTACATGAGACTATGGGTGAAGTCGCACAACTTATTGCACAACACAACGAAAAAATATCAAATACAGAACGTTTAATAAATATAGCACACGATCGAATACATGAAGCATCGACATTACTTCAACAAGCAGTTCATAATAAATATGTTACAATAGTATCAGGCGCTCTACTTGGTGCTAGTCTTGGTGGACCTGTTGGATGTTTTGTGGGTTTAAAAATGGGTGCATTAGTAGCATTGAGCGGTTCGGCTGTTGGTGCCCTGTCAGCAAATTTTATGCAACAAAGAATAACACGAAATGATGAACCAAAAACTAATGACATATCTTATAATCAAGCTATGCTTTAAAATAATAGAATGATATTTTCTTTTAAAGAACATTCAATTTTATTTTCCAGTAACTTGTACTTCTACATTTTTTCTAAATTTTCAAAACCATAAAATATATATGGGCTTTCACAAGCGTGACGCGATGACGTTTTGTCCGCAGTTTTACCGTTTTTCTTAGAAACTAGACTACTTAAAAATTTGATTCTTTCATCGAATGATGAGTCTCTCTACCCTGTCATAATTTCTGAAAACCCGAGTTCGTTTGGCTTAGTCGTTTGAAAATTCTGGCAAAAATACTGAGTGAAACGCGATGATGAAAATTGGACAGAAAGTTGAGGGTGACGTGTTTGCTCATTGTTTTTCTCTGGATGTGCACTACATTGGAAAAACCGATCATTAAGAACTTTGTAGCCGACAGTACGAAGTATTCAACGAAAAAATAAAATACTTCAAAAAGATCATTTATTGGCTCGTTATTTTACAACTCGTGTTTCTAATTTTCCGGTATTAGAGGTGACGCGTTACAAATTTTTGCCGAGATATATATATGTATAAATGTATATATTTTATCAACATTCTTGATACAGATCAAATTAGAATTGGATTTATATTAAGAAACGAATAATGATCCTGATGTATTTATATTCTAACGATCTGCAAATGTTTTTCATAGTTTACTTATTAATGCATATATTATCAAGTGTTCGAAGGAATGTAACATCCTTTTCAACTAACGAGGAAACAGATCTAACTGATAATTGCCGATAGAAGTGATTTTTAGCGCATTAGTAGGACGCAACGAGACTAGAAAAAGACTGAAAGGATTTCTCCCCGTAAACCTTCCTTATGGAGTTATGATCATCTTATCGAACTTTCGACTTATGGCAAGGTATTTACAAAAAAGTCAAAAATAAAGAAAATTCATCTGAATTTATGTCCACAGATAGGTCTCGCAGTTCTTAGAACATTGAAAGTTTTGTCCAAAGCAGATGATTCATTCTTGACATATTGTATATTGAAGAAAAGTTGGCATGATGACTTCTGTTGTGGTATATGATCATGTTTTTTTGGAATATTCAATATATTGATAAGGAACCATCGGATTTGAATGCAACTTTCAAGATATACTTAAGATCAAGAGACCTGTTTATGGATAAAAGTTCAGGTGGAATTTTGTTAATTTTGGTTTTCTCTATAAATAACTTGCCATAAACTGAAAATTCGATAAAATGGTCATAACTTCATAAGCAATAACTACGAAGAGAAATCTTCTCATACTTTTTCTAATCTCACTGAGCCCTACTCACAAGTAACATATCAATTTGATGGACGATTGACAGCTAGATATGTGTCCTCGAAAACAATTTAACACATGACATAGAATATCGTTAAAATACTAACAGTCGACTAGAGAGCTGCATTTCCATGGTAACCGGGTCCGGGTCTAGACCCGGTGGTTTTTTCATGGGGGTGAAAATTTGAAAAATGATCACGTAATATTTGGATCAACTATCTGAAATGGCTGGAATGGGGTGAATGTGTCAAATATTACGTGATCTCTTTTTCAAATTTTCACCCTCATGAAAAAAACACCGGGTCCGGGTCTAGACCCGACCGGGTCCGATTTGCAGCTCTCTACAGTCGACAAGGTTGGGAACATTGAAAATATCAAACTAACGAGTTTTATTGTTGTTAGAACACTGAAATGAATTTTAAAATCTTTGAAACTGTCGTTTTGTTATTATAATAAGTGTCATTGAATGTATTCTTTGTACTTTTGTTTTAAAGAGAATGTTTACTATGAATCAAGAACTCTTTAAAGTTTTTCAAGTTAAACCGAAAGACTTGAGCAGTTTGATTATTATCTAAGATATGATCTACTAAAGAAATGACGGTAATAGAATATACTACTCTTCTGTTTCATATTATCTCGTTTTATCATCAGTAAATGTTATTCTTTCAAAAATGTTTCAATTAGAAAAATAGATTATCTCGAAATCTATTGATTGTATGTTGACAAAATAATAAATGAATTTTTCCAATATTATTTTTCATTTCAATTTTACATTAAATTTTGAAAATGTTACACATGTTGTCATCGAATAATTTGATGTAGTTATAATTATTGCTAAATAACGAATGTCTTTAAGATCACCAATCTATTTTCACCGGTTAAACAGATCTATAGAATTTTTTTATTATGGTGCTTTTTGAGTTGACTGTTTTGTTCATTTGCAGACTTTCTTTTAACTGATTTATTGCTTGAATTATTGACAACAAATTTAATTGAGCAGGTGTATATTCTTATTTGACGTTAGTTTTGTATCTCGAAAGAAGTTCTGACTGAATTTCTTAAATATCAACATTCGTCAAAATTTCAGAATAGTTATCAATTATATAAAGAAAATAATATGTTTTCTTCCCCTTATTATGTTGAAATAAAATACAGATGACGTTTTGCATTTGAAAGTAACAGCAATTCTTTCTTTTCTTTTTTTTTCAAGAAAAACTCACGATTACCCATCATATCCAATATAAACAAACACCAAATGTCCAAGAAACTGCCAGAACTAGTTCGTTTTCCTTTTTTTTTTATTTATAGAAAATTTCGTTAGTATTTCTAAAATCTATCGATTACAGTGTCGTTCTCATGAAGAAACGACACTGAGTAAAATTATACGATTTGACATGTCGTCCCGTTATTGATTACAGAAAAAAAAGATATTTCCTACTAATCATTCATACATTGCATATTTGGAATTAAATTGAATGGTATGATTGCTGACTAATAAAAACGTACAATAATGAACATACTGCAAGCAACGTTTCAAATATAATTTATCGACTCTAATTTAATACTCTTGAATGTCGAAGAAGATCGAAAAATCTTCAATAGAATGAATGCAGACATCTATTTTCGTCAGATGTACCAAACTATGAATTTAAAATTTAACTAAGGTCAGAATGAAATTTTTGTTGTGAATCATGTATACTTCATTGAAAAAAAAACAGTCATCTTCTTCTTAAAAAAATCGTTGCCAAGACTTCTGTATTCTACTTTTTTTCTCAAAATAAAATCTAGAACATATTTACTGTTTTATTTAAATAATATGACATACAGAACAAGAGACTGTCAATAGTATTTTCATCTCTTTTTATCTTACTCTTAATAACCTTCAGTACCATTATTAGAATATTTACATCATCATTGTTGATGGAAGATGATAAGATGAAAAGTTACATAACTTGATTGTTCACAATAACTTCGAACGGGCGTTTTTTGGGCCTGTACATTTTCATTTCATTTTAGTTTTAGAATCGATAGAAAGTAAAACAAACAGCATAGAAAATGAATATTGATTATCAATGTGAAAGACGAAACAGAACAATCACAATCCTTCTTCTAGAATGTGTAAACAAACAACGATGAAAAAACTTTTTTTACTTGAGTACTTCACCAAACTTTTCTGTTCTCTTTCAAAATTCAATATAAATTTCATTTTCTTTAATTTAATTGCATGTCCTAATGATATGTTTAGAACTCGAACTGGAAAGTAATCATGTCGACAAATATTTTTTTCTTCACTTTATTCATTGAATTAATTATACAATATAATGAAGATGTGTTCTGATTTGTTAACGAGCAATAATTTCATGTCTTCGAGAAAGAAAAAATTCCGTTTGTCATTATTCGCTTGCTGACATAGATTTGTGCGTTCAGTAGCTAGCTTATTGATGATGTGAAGAGAAAGAGAAAACGAGAGAAAGAGAGAGAGACAACCAATATATGTCGATGTCTATTTGTTGCCATCGTGAGCGCAGCAACCAAACAAACACAAATCATGTATTGTGTTGCCGGCCGCATCGATGTTTCCTCGGTTACTCTTTACATTTTTTCTTCTTTCGCAACAGGCACGTCCGTCCGTCTGCTATACTGTTGCTACGATGATGATGCGAAGTATACGCATAATTTCTCTCTTCTTTTTTTCGTTTCAGTCGCCGTTGCTGTCGTCGTCTAACAACGCACACATATACAACACACTCTTTCCATACACATCCACTTCATCTTTCTCTCTTTCTCTTTTTTCTTTCTCGCTTCGTATTTAAAAGAAGAAACTCAGTTCAAAATTGCCTCTCATTCTTCGCTGTAGACGTACCCATTCGCTCGTCGTCGTCGTCGCCGCTTATATATATCTCTACACTTTGAACATAAAAAACTCGGAAGAAAAACAAAGTAAATATTCTCGAGAAAAAACTAAAATTTTTAAATAATATGATTAAATTTTTTTTAATGTATAGATGCGTGAATGTATCTCGATTCATGTCGGCCAAGCCGGTGTTCAAATTGGTAATGCCTGTTGGGAACTTTATTGTTTGGAACACGGTATTCAACCTGATGGTCAAATGCCTTCGGATAAAACCATTGGTGGTGGTGATGATTCATTCAACACATTCTTCAGTGAAACTGGTGCTGGAAAACACGTACCACGTGCTGTTTTCGTTGATTTAGAACCAACTGTCATCGGTAAGATGACATAGTCATACAGTGATATTGATTCTATATATCTGGTCTTTTAGATGAAGTACGTACTGGTACATATCGCCAGCTTTTCCATCCTGAACAACTCATCACCGGCAAGGAAGATGCCGGTAAGCATCGATTAAAATTAGTTTCTTTATTAAACCTATGGCAAATTCTCTATCTCTAGCAAACAACTATGCTCGTGGTCATTATACCATTGGAAAGGAGATTGTTGATCTCGTACTCGATCGTATTCGTAAATTAGCTGATCAATGTACTGGCCTTCAAGGTTTCCTCATCTTCCACAGTTTTGGCGGTATGTGTTTTACTTAAATGAATTGAAAATATTTTCTTGTTTTGTTTTCTTTCAGGTGGTACTGGTTCAGGTTTCACATCATTGTTGATGGAACGACTCAGTGTCGACTATGGCAAGAAATCAAAACTCGAATTTGCCGTTTATCCAGCTCCGCAAATTTCAACTGCTGTCGTTGAACCATACAATTCGATTCTTACAACACACACAACACTCGAACATTCGGATTGTGCTTTCATGGTTGATAATGGTTCGTATATATTTTTTTTGTTTCGAAAGTTCTTCATTTCTATTTTTTCTATTCTAATTATAGAGGCCATCTATGATATTTGCCGTCGTAACTTGGATATTGAACGACCAACATATACCAACTTAAATCGTCTTATAGCTCAAATTGTTAGTTCAATTACAGCATCACTTCGATTTGATGGTGCACTCAATGTTGATCTTACTGAATTTCAAACCAATTTGGTACCTTACCCACGTATTCACTTTCCTCTTGCTACATATGCACCAATCATCAGCGGTATATTTTCATGAAATTTTATATTTTCATAAATATGAAAAAATATGTTTTTATAGCTGAAAAAGCATACCATGAACAATTAACTGTTGCTGAAATTACTAACGCTGTATTCGAACCAGCTAACCAAATGGTTAAATGCGATCCTCGTCATGGTAAATGATTTATATTTGAAATGCTATTTTTTAATACATTATAAACATTTTAGGAAAATATATGGCTTGCTGTTTATTATATCGTGGTGACGTCGTACCAAAGGATGTCAATGCAGCTATTGCTACCATCAAAACTAAACGAACAATTCAATTTGTTGATTGGTGTCCAACTGGATTTAAAGTTGGTATCAACTATCAACCACCAACTGTTGTACCAGGTGGTGATTTAGCTAAAGTTCAACGTGCAGTTTGCATGTTATCAAATACAACAGCTATTGCCGGTATGTTCGATGAATTTGTAGAACTTGTTTGAAGGTTAATTGTTGTTTTTAATTTCTAATCATTTGACAGAGGCTTGGGCTCGTCTTGATCACAAATTCGATTTAATGTACGCCAAACGTGCTTTTGTTCACTGGTATGTCGGTGAAGGTATGGAAGAAGGTGAATTCTCAGAAGCTCGTGAAGATTTGGCTGCCCTCGAAAAAGATTACGAAGAAGTCGGTGTTGACTCAGTTGAAGTATGTTATTTTCTTTTTTTAATTTTAACATTAATTAATTGTATTTGTAAACTTGTTTTCAGGGCGAAGGCGAAGGCGAAGGTGAAGAATATTAAATTGGCGAAGAAAAATATTCTTGAGAGCACAGCAACATTAACAACAATAATCTATTCTATCCAACATTCTAGTTTCTTATTGTGTACTATCTTTTTCTTTATTTCATTTTGGTTCTGTATCTTTTCCACTAGTTTGACAACAAGCGAGAGATCTTCTATATGTAATTCAATGAAGTTGCTTCTTATTTTTAATCAATTTTTTCTGTGCTTCGCCTATGAGAAAAAAAAACACCAAATAAATAAATGATTCACTCTATTCTAATTAAATAGAAATGTTTAAATCATTAAAAAAAATTTTCTGTTGCATGCAATATTTTTTCTTAGAGGAATTACTGAATTTCATTTCATACTTTTAGTTTACATTCACTGCCTGTGCTACGGTTAAGCTTCAATAATAGTTTAGCAGTCACATAATATGTTCATTACTAAATTAAGTAGCACATTTAACTTGATTTAAAGTTTACACGGGTTGAATAAGTATAGCTTTTCAGTTGTTACTTTCTTTCTTGCTAAAACTTGAGCCATGTTTAGAAACAACAAGAGAAAAGTGCATTATGTTTATTGCTCTATTTAATCATTTGAAAGTAAATTCATCAAGCTGATTGTTTGTGTTTGAAACTTGGTCATTCCACAAATCACTTATTACAACTGAACCAAGACTTAGATGTTTTCATGCTAAATATTGTTTATTTTTATAACATAGCATTGGTTACCTCAAATCATGGTGGAGTTCACAAGTGTGAGGTGAAGAGTTGATGGTGCGGATCAGAGTGATAGGTTAGATTAAATGTTATCAGAATAACGAAATATTCTAACTCGTTATCTTGCTTTTCCCAGTTTCGTCATGGCTTGTGATGAATAGTTTGTTATATGCATTAGGAAAAGCAGAACAAAGGTTAATCTAAACAGTGATATAAGCAAATGAAATGTGCTAATACTATCAGAATTTGGAGAACGTAAGAAAGTAAGGGAAAACATCATATTGGACATGCATGTGGAAGAAATATCTGTTGGATGGTAGAAGAAATTAAACAAAAAACAGTTGGATTGTTTTCTGTTGAGAAATCAATTATACAAATTGTGCATGAACTTTGCATCTTGATTGCTATGATAAAAAAATTATCTAAGCTAATTTTCTACATAAAAAAATTTTCATGTAGAGAAAAACTTTCATAAAATTTTGTGCTACGTGTATGAGTGTACACCAGTTGATTTTGTAGATTTGTTTACAAGACTAACAGTTAATGAAAGTAAAGCTATCCTCATTGCAACATGCTTTTTATATATTAGTTTAACACTTAAGTTTCAATGCATTGCGTATCTTCCCGTATTATTGTTTTTCTTTTGTATAAAATTTCATGAAACAGACGAATCTTTTATTTTAGACACAATTAAAGTTGTAGTCTTAGTTTAGTTAACACTAGAAAGATAATTGTGGACAGAACAGATTCTCTTTTGGTGTTTTATTCAATCTCGAATGAATAATTTGCATATTCATGGCATCAGAGGAGTAAATATAAAAGGAAGAAGAGAATCTCAAAAGTTCTAAACAAACAATTATAACCAATCGAATACCTTTATATTTTACTAACAGAGAAATTTTGTCCAACAAAAGAGTGAATAATTGGTAGAAGTATTATAAAGAAATGATGCAAAAAATGAACTGATTGGTCTTAATATAAAATTTTACAATCCTTAATGAGATAAATGGACTTTTCAGCAGTTTCTTCATTATTTGTCTTTGTAGCAAATTTCTTTACGTCTTGATATTTATGTCGAAAGAAATCATGTTATATTAAGCGGAATACAACTTTTTCTCGTAGTAGTATAGATTAATAGCATTAGTATTAAACTTTAAACTGTTTTAGAAGATTTAGTTTTTAGCATCCTGGTTTGAACTATGCGTTTTTTCGTCTGGTATTTTTGATTTTGTTAACCTCTGGAAATAACGCGGTCCAAAACAGTCTTCTATAACAGACAATTTTTGTAACAATTGGTTAATCTGTTGAATTTCTTCTCTATGTCGAGGAGCAATTATTCTATTCCATATATCATCTGTAAACTTAATTTTTAAATGTAAATGTGAATGATTTCGATATGTTCCATGATTAAGGACCATAGTTCGATAACATGTTTCTAACTGATTGCATTCTCTATCGATTAATTCAATAGCATCATCCCAAAATGCTTTCATTTCTCCATTTTCATCGTTTAATTCTGACAAACGTTCAACATGTCGAATAGGTGTTAAAATAAGCATTGATCGAGCTTTGCCATCAAGCCATACACGAGTATATTGTTGTTCAGATAATAAACTAGCCATACTTAGCTCATGTGTTAATTCACATGACATACAGACAGGAGTCATTGCTGGTTTTGATGCACGAATAGGATCACCGAAACAAATCCATACATCTAACTCATTATTTCGTTGAGAATTATGTTGAAGTTCAAGATGATAATCAATTAATTGAGAGTCCTGTTCAAGAAAATCAACAAGTTGTCGAAAAAATTGACGAGCTCGATTAGTTATGACAAGGTCACGTAAACGGATAGAACATTGAAAAATCCATTTATTAGGGACTTTCTGTGGAATGAGCCATTCAGAAGGAATAGTTAATGATGTCATCCTTTTCTGAAATATCAATAATTAGATAAATCATATATATGAAGAATCTTTTCCTAAATCGTTAAAGTTTTCAGCAAAGATTTTGCTAAACACTGTACGATTGAATGGTGTGAATGTGATACAGGAACTTATTTATATAAGTAAATGGATAGAAAAAGGCTTTTGCAAGGAAAATAAATGTAAAATATCAATCTGAGCAATCCATATAAATATCATTGTAATTATGATATAGATGTCACTGAGATAAGATAATTTGCAGATAGCTTAAGGGCAAGTGACTCAGGTATATCATCTTGCTAGTTTGCTTCAATCGATCAGATTCTCATTAGAGATCTATGGTCTATTATTTATAACCAAAGATGTACATTGATGTAGAAAATGTTGTCACTAAATACATATTCTATTGATTCCAGTTTCTTTTTCTATCAACATATCTGAATTTCTCTGGGTGAAACTTAATATTTCTCAGATATATGTGTATACCTCGTTTATCTCTGTGAGCGTCATCTATCCGGTAGATAATTTTGAAGATTGGAAGTAAAAGGGTGAGACTCGTTCAAACGAACTTTGATTGATGACAAGGAACCTTGCACCATACGACTACTGTGAAGCTAGCCGAATCGAATCATTTAGCCGAAAGCAGGTAACAATTCTATTGGACCATGTATTCAGCAATAGATATCGTAGTATCTGTGAAATAAAAATAAAACACCAGTAAAAATAGATAATTGAATGCTCACCAACTGATGATGTTTTATGTTTATGGGAAAATTGTTATGAATATAACGAAATTGTTATTTAATTTATTTAAATATAAATAAGTCAAAAAAACAGAAACAAAGAGAAAATCAACATCTTTTTTTCGTACAAAAGCACAATTTTTATGTTTTTGAAAATAAATGTTTAAACATTTAATTCATCATTATAATATTTATATAAGCATTTTTCGCAGTTATTTTTTGTTGATGCTCTTATAAAATTATCAGTTACACATTGTAATTAATAATATTCCACAGTAACTAAAACATTATTTGATAAACATGTTTTTCTATCAACTAAAAATTGCTCAATATAATCATCATCGACATCATCGAAATTTAATTTGGTTAGATGAAAAAATTGAGCAATTGGTAAATTTATTTCTTCATTTTCTTTTTCTTTTTGTGGTTTTTGATTAGTTAAAGATAAAGTTTCTATAAATGGAAATGATTGAGATATTCGAATGAAAAACTCATGTTCAAACGGATATTCATCAAATAAAGAATTTTTTTTAACAAATTTATATATTCCACCTAGAAAATTATTTGTTATATTATAATAAAATCCAATTTCATTTGAACATGAGTATGAATATGTATTACAATGACCCAAACGACTTTCAGGATAGTAATTAATACAACAATAACTATGATTATTTCCGACATTTATTAATGTTTTTCGAATATCTTCATTCGAAGGTAAATCATTTGGATTATCAATAGGAATAAATGAATGTATATTAAAACCAAATTGTTTTAAATTTAGTAAATAATTTATAATATTATATTTCAAATTGTTACCATCAATAAATGTTTCTTTATGGACAACTACAAGATATAGGCGAAGTTTTTCTAAATTTAACATCTGATATATAAGTTGAACAACTAATTCATCATCAGTTCTGTTCATATAATATGTCGTCAATAGAAGGAAGAAGTTGTCGAAAAAGTTACAAATGAGTGACGTTGGGTAGCTTGGGTGCAGAATCTGCCCGTAGGCTGCAGCGGTGCTGATGGGAAAAACTGATCTTTCGGGGAAATCTGGGAATATCCTAACGCAAATATATTCATTACCTGGGGAAATTTTTTCTAGTGTGTGCTCCATACTGCTGGGAAACACCGGCAGATTGTGCCTCTCCGGGAAGGAGAGAAGAAATTCTGAATAGGTCCTGTCAAGTTAGATCCGCGTGTAAAAATTTTCTGTCAACAAGATCGAGGTCAAGTTCAGAATCCATCTGAAATTTGCTTTATAAAAGGTAACAGTCAATTATGACTCCATTTTTATATGATTATCATCAAGGTGATCTGAAAAATGTATCAACGATAAATT